GGATCGGATTATGAGGTTGGCAAAGACGAAAATGGCATGTTGCTCAGGAAATTCGAGGTCCGCCAGGCGTCACGACGATGTGCAGCCTTTGGGTGGGGGAGGTCGTATGTGGGTGCCAAGGTCGAGAGTGACAGGCTAGAGGAGCAACCTACGAGTAGGCGCATCAAGGTGGGAACTGGTCGGCCGTTGTCAGGCAATCAAGAGAGTGTCGAGAGAGTGATGATGATCGATCGATAGCTAGTTCGTGTCGTCGGACGAGGATCCGAGTCGGGGGGGTTGTTCCAAGCTGGGGATGCAAGGCGAGATGAGTCGTGCCAAGTTGAGTCGACTGAGCAGGCTCTGCCTCTGCAGGAACGGTGGCTGTTCCGGCCTCGTCTGGAGCGAATGAAGGGCCGCGCCGGGGTTCGAGTCGTGATATCACCAAGCGATGGGAGACGGGCGGCGCATAGCTAGATATCGCATAGGGCGGCTGGGAGGGGTTGAAGAAATCGTCAGGGCTGCGTGGTGATCCGTGGTCAGTGATCACTGATCAGGAATCAAGGTAAGAGAATGACGAGAAATGACGGACGATCCCGACTGTCGAATGCGGCAGGTCAGGTCAGGGGCCCAGATCCAGATATCGAAAGATGCAATGCTGCTAGGAAGTACCGGAAGTACCTGCATGGACCACCAGACGCACCGCAGGTGGTGAGCTTTGGGCGGCGGCGATTGGCTGGGGCGTGGGCAGCTGATCCCCGCTGTCTCGCACCATTGTTCTTCCAGCTTCCGGCCAATGACGAAGTCCGGTGGAGGAATGGGATGCTCAGCTTTCGCCATGTTGCCGGATTGTTTCAGAGACGAGGCAAAAGAAAAGAAGAGAGAGACAAGAAGAGATTTCATGAACGTGTCTCTTGAGTAAAACAGAGGGGGCGGCAGAGCAGGTGGCGTTGGAGCTTTACGAGGCGGCCTAGGTCCAGCATGCCACCATGGGGCCTACCTTAGGTAAGGGAGGTCAGAGTCTCGAACCGGACCCAAGCGAGCCGGCAGCCACCGTGTCCAGGCGTGGTTTCCAGTGGTATTGACCCCCCTAAAAACGACGTGCAGTGAGATATGCTAGGTACCTTGCACTGTAGTTCGGGGGAGGGGCCCTGAATGAACAGGCTGAAGGTACCTACCTACCTTACCTAGGTAGGTATCTAAGGCAGGCCCAAGCGTCCCGAGGCTGGCTCCCGCTCTGGCCCACGCACGCCCCTGCCGCCTTACCTAAATCGATGCTCCCGTAATTTTATCCCACCCTCTCTCTCTCTGTCTGCCTACCTTACCTTGCCTTATTGCATATGTCCCGCTGAAGCTTCATCCCCCACAGCAACCCATTCATCGTGGACCCAAACAAATCTTGAGGACGAGCAAGATCCCACGCAAAACCTCTCCCCCCCCCATCACCTCTTCAGGAAACGCCGTGCATCACCGTCAAGATGGCTGCGGATATGGGCACCATTGCCCAACTACTCGATGCGACTCTCGATCCCTCTCAGCACAAGAAGGGTTTGTACAGAGGGAGCTCCCCCTCCCCCTCTCCGTTCAAAATAGTACCCCGCCATAACTGTTTGGTTGCTAACAAACAATGCCTCCCACAGCCGAAAGCGCCCTCAAGCAAGAGCAGGTCAAGCCGCAATACTCCATCCAGCTTCTCAACATTGTCGCCTCCGAGGCGCTACCTCCTAAGACCCGTCTCGCCGCCTCGTTGGCCTTCAAGAACTTTATCCGGAACAACTATGTTAACGCCGAGGGAGACTACAAGCTGCCTGCCGACGAGGTGAAGACCATCAAACAGCAGCTTATTGGCCTGATGATTGCTTGCCCTCCTTCCATTCAGTCACAGCTCGGCGAGACCATCAGCATCATCGCCGACTCGGACTTCTGGCAGCGTTGGGACACGCTGACCCAGGAGCTCGTTGACCGCTTCTCCAACACCGACCCCAAGGTCAATATTGGTGTCCTCGAAGTCGCACACTCCATCTTTGCCCGCTGGCGACCGCTCTTCCGGACCGACGATTTGTATACCGAGATCAACCATGTCATCAGCACATTTGCCGAGCCCTTTGTCAAGCTCCTCATCGCCGCCGACAAGCAGATCGATGCCAATGCCCAGAACAAGGATGTGCTGAAGAGCTGGTTTGACGCCCTGAGCCTCATGATGAAAATCTTCTACGACCTCTCGTCCCACGACATGCCTCCCATCTTCGAGACGCATCTCAGCTCCCTCTCTGAGCTTCTGCACAAGTACCTGACCTACTCCAATCCCCTCCTCAACACCGAGGAGGACGATGAGGTCAGTATCGTCGACACGGTCAAGGCCGACATTTGCGAAGTCCTGCAGCTCTACGTTATCAAGTACGACGACGACTTTGCCAACTACACCCAGCCCTTCATCACGAGCGCGTGGAACCTCCTCTCGACCACTGGTCTTGAGACCAAGTACGACCAGATCGTCAGCAAGGCGTTGCACTTCCTCACCGCTGTTGCCGGTACGACAAAACACTCGTCCATGTTTGCGAGCGAGGATGTTTTGGGCCAGGTTGTCGAGAAGGTCATCCTGCCCAACGTCGCCTTGCGTGAGTCGGACATGGAAATGTTCGAGGACGAGCCCATCGAGTTCATCCGCAGGGATCTGGAGGGTTCCGATACCGACTCGAGGCGTCGCGCCGCCACCGACTTCCTGCGCAAGCTGCAGGAGAGGTTTGAGCAGCTCGTGACTGGTGTTGTTAGCAAGTACATCAACCACTACCTTACGCAGGGCAAGTCGGACTGGAAGGCCAAGGATACGGCCGTCTACCTCTTCATCTCGATTGCGTCCAAGGGCGCCGTCACGGCGGCCCAGGGTGTCAAGACCGTCAACCCCCTAGTCAACGTTGTCGACTTCTTCGAGCAGCACATCGCCGCCGACCTGACGAGCACAAGCGTGGAGCCCATTGCCAAGGTCGATGCCATCAAGTACCTCCACACCTTCCGCAGCCAGTTCAACAAGGACCAGTGGAAGGTCGCCTTTAACCCCCTCATCCAGAATCTGGCGTCCGAAAACTACGTCGTCTACACATATGCAGCCATTGCTGTGGAGCGCGTACTGTTCTTAACGGAGGACTCTGGAAAGCAGGTGTTCCCGAGGGAGGACATTGAGCCTTTCGCCAAGGATCTCCTCGACCACCTCTTCAAACTCATCGAGAAGGAGACGGCGGCGCCCAAGCTTCAGGAGAACGAGTTCCTGATGCGCTGCGTCATGCGTCTGCTCATTGTGATCAAGGAAGGCGCTGCGCCCGTAGCTGAGCGCGTCCTGAAGCACCTCATCCTCATCACCAACATCATCAAGACCAACCCCAGCAACCCCCGCTTCTACTACTACCACTTCGAGGCTCTTGGTGCCCTCGTCAGGTACTGTGCCTCCACGAATGCTGGCCTCTTCAACCAGCAGCTGTGGGAGCCGTTCCACCAGATCCTTGTCGAGGATGTCACGGGTTAGTCGATCGAGTTACACCATTCCCATTGATGCATCGTGCTAACTTCTTCCCATAGAGTTCCAGCAGTACGTCTTCCAGATCCTGGCACAACTGCTCGAGGTCAGCCCAGCAGACGCCATTTCGGAGAACTACAAGGCTTTCCTGGCACCCCTGCTCGCGCCTGGCATTTGGGACACGAAGGGTAACGTTCCTGCTTGTACGAGATTGCTTTCGGCCATCATCCCGGCGACGAAGTCCTATATCGTTTCCGAGAACCTTCTGGAGCAAGTTCTGGGTATCTACCAGCGTCTCCTGAGCACCAAGAAGTTCCAGCTGTACGGCTTTGACGTGATCGAGTCTGTCGTCAAGACGTTCGAGCCGTACGTATATTTGCCTCTGATGGGAATAATTCGAGCTAACCATAGTCTAGGAACGCGCTGAACCAATACTTTGGTCACATTCTGCAGCTCATGTACTCCAAGCTCGAGGGCCAGCCCGCCGAGTCTCTCAAGCTGCGTTTTGTCCGGTTCTACCACTTGGTCTCGGCGCGGCAAGAGGCGGGCTTCGGCGCCGACTATGTGGTCCAGCACACGAATCAGCTGGCGCAGGGTCTCTTTGCTAACGTATACCCCACTTTCATCCTCGCCGACACAGAGAAGCTGGCCAACCCTGTCGACCGTAAGCTCGCTGTCATCAGTCTTGCCAAGACGGTGTGCGAGTCCAAGGCGTTTGCGGAGCAGTTCAAGAAGGGCTGGGCGCGGTCCGTCGGTCTCCTGCTGACGCTCCTGGTCAACCCGCCCGTGGTGACAAGCGGTGTCGGCGACGAGTTCATCGCCGAGGCCGACGTTGACGACATTGGTTTCGGCCTGTCCTACACAGCGCTCAACACGTGCCGTCCGATCACGCGCGACGACTACCCAGAGGTGACGGCCGTAGCGCCCTGGGTCAGCGCGTACATTAACTCAGCGAACAACACGCACGGCGGACAGATCTCAAACTACATCGCCGAGAGGCTGACGCCCGAGCAGCAGGAGGCCCTGCGTCAGCTTCTGATGTAGGAGACGAGAGGCGACGGAGGCATGGGACTGCCGGACGACTGCGTGCTGGCGACGGCGTGGGGAGGAGGCGGCAAACTGCAATGACTTGTCATGACAAAAAAGACTCTGGTGGTGATGGTGTTGTGGCCCAATACTGCCACGTAGTCTGTTGATTTTAGACGAACGAAGCCTTGACGACGTACTCTGAGTGTTTGCATGCTTGCTGACCGTGCTGTATGTATTATTGTGTTTTATCGGGCTCACAAAAAATGCCGTCTTGCTACCAGGCAAGTTTATCAAGAGGATACCAAGCTCTATATTGTCTGTTCCCATGCGTGGCTGATCTGCAGCTTCAACTCATTCAGGGGTAACTCTGTGATAGCTCATTGGCCCTTGCTTGCGCTTCCATTCCTCAAATTCATGTTCTTGAGGTTGTCTTCCGAGAACAAGGTATCGCCAGTCATAGAGGTCATCGTCATTTGCGCTCCCCTCAGGCGACCTCCTCGTGACGTCCCCTCGCCTGCCTTTGGGCCAATTGCACATCAGTCACGTAATCCTTCATCTTCCAAGCCGGCACGCCCTTCTCGTACATCTCGTCCATCTCAGCATTATTCCGCCGCGACGGCTCCGGCACAAAGAACCACACGACGACGCAGGTCACGGCACCGACGCCGAAGAACAGCCACCCCGTCTTGTACCCCATGTTCGCCCCCTCCGTGTCCAGCATGACCGGCAGCGCCGTGTTGAAGGTCAAGCCGAAAACGACCGACAAGCCGGCCGCCAGCCCGGCCGTGCGCGCACGCAACTTCTGCGACGCAATCTCGCCGACAAACGCCCAGCCGAGCGAGCCGAGGGCGTTGTTGAAAAAGGACCACACGCACGCGACGAAGATGCAGAAGCTGCGCAGCGGCGGCGACGTCGGCGCGAGGCCGATGGCGGCGACGACGAGCATGGTCAGCGTCGAGACGCAGGCCGCCGCGAACACGACGAGGCGGCGCCCGAACCGGTCCGTCCACAGCATCAGAGCCACGGACGTCACGAGCGCGATGACGGTCAGCACCGTCGTGATGAGGAACGGGTCGGCGAAGCCGGCCTGGCGGAAGAAGAGCGACGCGTACGTGCTCAGGAACGACAGGCCCGTCAGCTGCTGCGCACACGCTGGCAGCGCCGAGCCCAGCGTGCGTCGCGCGTTCGAGCCGCGGAAGCACTCGACGTACGAGTCAGCCAGTTCCTTCCACCCCTTTCGGCTGCTGCCGTCGTCTTCCTCCAGCTCGTGGCGTCGTCGCCGCTGCTCGAGGATCGAGTTCTTGATGATGGCGTACTCGGCGTCGACATCGTAGGCGGGCACTTGACCGTTCACGCGGTCGAGAGATGCGCGACCCTTCTCGTCGAGATCGCGCTCGGCATAGTACTGGGCCGTCTCGGGCAGCCAGAGGAAGATGGGCAGCATGATGCCGAGGAACCCCCACTGCGTGACGATGGGAATCTTGTACTCCTGTGGGTTGGCGTTCTCGCAGATGAGGAGCGTCAGCGGCGCCAGGAACTTGCCGATCGTGTTCCAAAAGCTGTACGTGAGGACCATGGCCCCGCGAATGTTCGACGGCGACCACTCGGCAATGTAGATGGGCAGCGTCGACTGCAGGGCGCCTACGCCGACGCCCGCGAGGATTTTGGCGCCTGACCAGTCTCGCCAGTCGCGGACCAGCGTCTCGAGCGTGAGGGACTGCGACCTTGATCAGTGCTAGCCCCTTTTATTCTGGTTCCGTCAAGAAGTGAAAGGAGGCCTTACACCTGCGAGCACGACCCAGAGGACGTACATGGTCATCTTGCGTCCGATGCGATCCGACACGGGGTTGAGGAAGAGCATGCCCACAAGCTGGCCGAGGGACTGCATGGCGCCCCAGAGCGCCGTGTGCTGGGCGTTGAGTACGTGCTTTGTACCGGCAGCATTGAGAAAGCCGATGTGGTTAACGAAGCCCTTGTTGGCAATAATATTTCCGTTCAACTTGTACTGGTAGCCATCGGCTGCGGCTGCGATCGCAATCAAGTTGCAGATGAGTACGGCCTACTCTTCGCGTCAGTATGGATGTAGCCTAGAGCACTTCTATATTTTCGAATACGTCACCTTCTTGAACCGACACACAGTAGCCCAGAGGCCTAGTTCATCGTGGTCTGACTTGAGCACGACGGTCTCATGCTTGAAATCGATATCATTGTCATGGTGCTCGGCACCACCAGAACGAGAGCCTGCTTCAATTTTGTCGGTCTGAGCAGACATCATGCGCCAAGATATTGAGTATAATCCAATTCCTGTCTCCAAATATGTTTGCTCTGGGTCGATGGCCTTTTTGAACACCCTGTAGATCCTTCACGACATCTTACCACAAAGTTTGCACCGTGCACCCCAGAACATCACCACTTCGCTGACAGCTCAACCGAGTCCACCGGCCGGAGGACATCTACAGCAGTGGCCTGACAGTTTTTCCAATGTTGCATTCGGATGGTCCAAGAGCGTCGCTCATCCCTTCCAGTCCTGGCAACCCCACGAGCCAAACTCCCGGCTAACCGGCACTGATGCGGAGAGAAAGTCAGACCATCACCGCGGGGAAGAACCCTAGGACACCAGAATCCGGGGTAAATCCCCAGGAGACTTATCCGTCGCCATCTACCAGCCAGAGCCAAGTCCCTTCATGCCGCTGTGCTGGTCTTTTGCGTTCAGCTCTGAGCTCCCGCAACGGCAAGCCACTTCTCGTTACAGCGCAAGGGGACATCGTGGGCCTCTACCACTCCCTGGCGCCGTCTCTGGTGGGATTTGAAGAAGGGACAGCGGCAGAAAGCGGATGAATTACACACACACCGGGCCAGAGTCATCAGCTCAGTCCATAATCCGGTGGACGGACAAGAATCCGTTGTCTCGCGATAACAAGGCGCGAGGTCCACGGCGGCGGCGTGAGCTGTCGAATGCTGCGAAGAATGCCAAAGCAACGATAACCCCACGCTGAAGCTCTTTGATCAGCGAAAGCCTGTCCAAGCTTGGAACAGGGTACAACTATTAAGACGTCATGCCCTTTTGCGGCTCATGAACCCAAGCCCAGGCACAGACTCCAAAGCACCGACGACATGGCTGTCTCCATCGCACAGGTCACAGCCGAGCACCACCATGACGGCTTCGGCCTTTTCACCACAACACCTCGTCTCTCATGGCGCTTTGACGCGACGACGGTGAGAGACTGGAAGCAGGCGTCCTACGAGGTGCGCATATCACGCAACGGTCAAGACGAATCATATCATATAATTTCACCTGAGTCCATCCTCGTCCCTTGGCCATCGTCTCCACTAGCCTCGCGGGAGAGGGCATCTATTGAAGTCCGCGCTACGGGGCGCGATGGACAATCCACAGACTGGGCGAGCTTAAGTGTTGAGGTTGCGCTCTTGTACCGCTCCGACTGGTCTGCCCAACTCATCTCCGGTCCGCCACCAGGCCCGGGACCAAAACGCCCATTCCGACTTCGGAGGACATTTCGACGCACCGGGACTGGACCAGCACGGCTATACGCCACGGCTCACGGCGTCTATGAGGTTGAGATCAATGGCCGGCGGGTAGGTGACCATCTGCTCGCGCCAGGATGGCAGTCCTACCGGCATCGTCTTCACTACCAGACGTACGACGTGACGTCCCTTTTGCAGGAGGGGGACAACGTCATCGGAGCTCACATTGCTGAGGGATGGTTCGCCACGAGACTAGGCAGACCCGGTGTCGCCAACATCTGGGGCAATCGGCTAGGGTTTCTCGGTCAAGTCGAGATCGAAGGGGAGGTGGTTTGCGCATCGGACGCCAGCTGGGACCATCTCGAGGGCCCGCTCATCAGTTCCGAGCTGTACAACGGCGAAATCTGCGACAGCAATCTTGAAGACCCGACATGGTCAAGCACATCGGCAACAACCCTAGCCAAAGGGCGTGCTCATGTCTTGCCGTTTCCTGCAGCTGAGCTCATAGCTCCCCAAGTCGCTCCAGTGCGACAAGTGATGGAGCTCAAGGCGAAAAGGATCATCACGACGCTGAGCGGGAAGAAGATACTGGATTTCGGCCAGAACTTTGTGGGCTGGCTGCGAGTCGAAAAAACAATATCCAGCACGCCAGACAACAGAGACCTGATTATCAGGCATGCCGAAGTAATGGAGCACGAAGAGTTAGGCATAAGGCCACTTCGCACTGCAAAAAGTCAGTACACCCTGAAGCTCGGTGGCCCTACAAGGAACGCCCAGACACGGTTCACGTTCTACGGCTTCAGATTTGCTGAGATCACGGGCTACGATGACGTTTGCGTTGATGACTTCACGGGCGTCGTCATCTCTTCGGACCTGCGTCGCACCGGTGGGTTCGAATCCTCCCATGCCATGCTCAATAAACTGCACGCCAACACGGTCTGGTCAATGCGAGGCAACTTTGTCTCAGTGCCCACAGACTGTCCACAACGCGACGAGCGCCTGGGTTGGACTGGAGATCTCCAAGTGTTTGCACCGACGGCCAATTTTCTGTACGACACGGCCGCTTTCTTAGGATCATGGATGCGTGATGTCGAGGCTGAGCAAAGGGATGCTGGCGGCGTAGTGCCGGTTATTATTCCCAATATCCCCAAACCGCCCGACAACCGACAAAATAGACCGATGGCAATCTGGGCAGACTGCGCCGTGATTACACCCTGGGACCTGTATAATGCTTTCGGCGACAAGACCCAGCTCGCGACGCAATGGGAGAGCATGCGTTTATGGTTGGACTTGGGGGTACCGCGCGATGAAAAGGGCTTTTACTCGACCAAATCGCCACAGTACGGCGACTGGCTGGATCCTCGCGCACCAGCCCACATGCCAGGTAATGGACCGACAGACAATTTCATGGTGGCCAACGCATATCTCATCTGTACGACGGACCTTGCAGGCAAGGTTGGCCGCATCTTGGGCAAGGCTGAGGCGGCAGAGCGCTACGAGATAGACGCTGCTCGTCTGCGGGATCTCTTCCGAGACGAGTATGTGACGAAGACAGGGCGATTGGCGTGCGACACACAAACTTCGTACGCGCTTGCACTGAGGTTTGGGCTGTTTGACGACGAGCAAATGGCGACGGCGTGCGGGCGCCTTGACTACTTGACTCGTTGGGAGCAGTTCAAGATCACGACTGGTTTCGCAGGCACGCCCATGATCCTCAAGGTGCTGGCGGATAACGGCATGCTGAACCTTGCGTACCGCATGTTACAGGAGCGTGATAATCCCAGCTGGCTGTATCCAGTAGGGATGGGTGCGACGACGATCTGGGAGCGCTGGAACTCGATGCTGCCGGACGGAACCATTAACCCGGGCCAAATGACGTCCTTCAACCATTATGCGCTGGGGTCGGTCTGCGCGTTCATGCATAATGTGGTGGGTGGGCTCTCGCCAGCATTGCCGGGCTGGAGGAAGGCGCTGGTGAAGCCGCAGCCGGGTGGAACGGTCAGGTCAGCTCGGACATGGTTTGACTCGCCCTTCGGGCCATATGAGGTGAATTGGAGATGCGAAGGGTCCAAAATGACAACACGGCTCAGGGTACCGCCAAATGCAGAGGCGCACGTGGTGCTTGAGGGCATAGACCAGGAGGTGGGCAGCGGCGAGTACGTGTTTGAGACGCTGTGGGAGACAGACCCTGAATGGCCTCCGAGTCATATCGCGGGGCCACAGGGCGACCAGTATGAGAATTCTTTCGTTGCGTGATCGCGAAGTTTATTTCGCGTGGTAGAAACCTTAACAGGAGCGTTGGGACTGTATCTGTAAGTGTAAGTTTCTCAGATTGAGTGTCAGGCCGTGGCCTCGGGGTCACTGCCGTCTGACGGTTCGTGGCCTACCGGCCGGCCGCAGGTTATAGACCCCTGCAACGAACAGTTGATTGTCCAAGGTTGATTATGCCGAGCCGGCAATCTGGGGGATCAAGCGACCAGCCAATGCTCCCGATAACGTTGCGATTCGCAAACACCACAATTGACTCGGCAGACGATCGTGGTTTGAGAATCTGCCAGCGCTGACTCGAAGCATATGCTGGATGCCGGGATGCTTGTTCTTGAGAGAAGCTTATCGGCTCGCAACAACCAGCTCGCAAGTCTGGTCTTTGTGGGGTATAGGCAGCATAATGCAGAGAAGGCAAGGCGCGGCTGAGGATCATTCAAGCAGCTGGTCCAGCCCGGTCCGCGTCGGTATTTCGACCGTGTTCTGGCTAAGCAGGTGGTTGAGTCGAACATCGAGCGTCCCTCTTTCGGGCAGGCCGTCTGGCGTGGCATTACGTGCCCCCGACACGGGCGAAGCATCGATCAAGCCACGACCCCAGGCTGATGCTGGCGCAGTGTCTTGTGCAGAGACCATCGGCTGCCCAGGCGGCAGAGGCAGGTCAGTGGGCCTCGAATGCTTGACTGGCGGCCAAGGGACTGAAGGGTCCGCCAAGGAACTGTAAAAGAGTCCGATGCCGAGGATGAAACGAGGCAGATTTCATCTTGGCGATGATCTGTCTGAGGATGGTTGAGGGAGTAGTGATGGAGAAAGGGCCGTTGGCTCGAAAGGGGGGAGCTCGACGCGACGGAAGAGCCCCGCTTCTTTACTTAGCAGCCAATGACGGGCGCTACCTGTGACCCCTGGTGCTTCATGTTTGCAGGAAGGGGCATCTCAAGGTGAGCGATCCGCTGAGTCAGTGGAGAGCCCTCCCCCCAGCGCTCTAGTGCACAGCAGCGCTTAGTGCGCAGTGCGCTCCAGGGCTCCCGAGGGCTCCTGACTGAGGAGGAAGGCTTGAGGCTCTCGCAACAATGGCAGGATGAGGTGCAGTGGAAAGAAAAGGTGGCTCCGGGGTAGCCCCTGCCCCAGGCCAGAACCCTGCAAGCCGGCGGCTCCTGCCTGGGGTTCGTAGCAAGCTGCAGAGAAGCTGGCTGGCCCGATGGGACCTGCCGTCTGTAAGAGTTGCCATGATGAAACACCTGAGCGCCCCAGCGTCTTCACTCCGTCCCATCGTCAACGGCCAGACCCAGCCCACCCACAATGCCACCTCGTCTCTACTCTGTTGTCTGCCCCACGGCGTCGTGGCTCTCTGACACTGACAGCGACCTCGACGCCAACATGACGGGTCTGAGACGACAACTTGCTTGTGTCCGAAGTCGCCATAGGTCTGAGGTCGACATGGCTCGGGTGTCATCTCGCATTGCTACACCTGCAACCCCATTTCATCATCAGACTAACCAACCTCTTCTCTTACTTCCATCCCAAGTTGCCTTTCATCCAGTCGTGATGCGTCTTCGTTTCGTTTCTCTCTTCCTTTCGTGATCCAAGACCCGGGCAGTGCCCATTTGCTCTTTTCTTGTTTTTCTTGTACTTGTTGTTGTTGTTGCCCGTCCATCTCTTCTTTTCGCTTCTCATCGTGACAGCTGGCCTGGTCATCTGTATTCCATTCGTTTTGATACACCACATTCATTGCCACCATGGACCAACCCATTGGCTTCTGGTTTCTGGAGAAGTGAGTGTCAACCAGCTTCTATCATCTCTTGTACAATCCAAGACTAACACCGCCCAGCCGAGAGGAACGCCGCCCGCGTTACCGTCGTCTTCGCCCGAGACAGCTGGCGCCCATTGAGCCGCCCGTCCCTGACGATAGCTCCTCCGATGAGATCGACTCGCCATCGCCCACGACGACTTCGTTCCCTTCCAGTACCGCCGCGCCGCCTCCGAACGCCGGACCGACAGACGTCGTGGCGAACCCTATCAGGCCGCCTGTTGCTGAACAACCGGCGGCGGGTGAGACGGAGCGTGCTGGCGAAACCACGTCCTCGGACTCTCAGCCGCGGCCAACTGAGCTCAGCACTCTCAGCACCATCACGACGGCGGCACCAACGACGACTTCTTCTACCGATACAACGTCTTCGTCGTCCTCTTCATCCACCGAGTCGAGCTCCTCCAGCTCATCTTCTAGCCAAGCAACTGCCGATGCTGCTTCTCAGATTGGATCTGACAACGCTGGGCGGACGGTCGACCCAAAGTTAGGGATCGCGTTCGGCTCTATCGGTAGGCTGGCTCTCCATGATGTACCCAGAAGACTAGGCTGACAACGTGCCAGGTGCTGCTGCTGTCCTCCTCTGTATCGGAGTGGGCATTTGGTGGTGCATGCGCCGCCGCAGTCGCAAGAAGGCCAAGCTCACGCCCCCCGCCTCCAGGGCACCGAGCCAACTCTTTACGCAGGAGGCTGCTGCTCGCCTCGACCAGCGGAGCGTACGCCGAGCGCCGTCAAGCCTCATGGGTGAACTCATGACGGCCGCCTACGCCGACAACCAAGGGGTCCCAGCCCAACAGTCGATGCCTTCGCAGAACCAATACGTCGAAAAGGGACCTCACGTTATTGCTTCACAGGCGCCGCCCGCTGGATTCGCCGCAAACGCACGCACATCGATTGCAAGCTGGGTCAACCGTCTCAACCCCTTGAGGCTAAACGCTCCATCCGAGGCCTACCAGTCAAGCCGTCAGAGTTCCATGTCGGACGTCCGGCGCGCTGTACCCGCCGACGCTTCCGCCCCCCCTGTGCCGGTCGTTCCTTTTCTCTTCCAGTCCCGCACCATGCAGAAGGATGACGACATGGAGCCGCTCGTCCAGCCCCCCGAACCGGCCATTCGACCTCCCTCAAGCCGATATGAACTTCCCGTCGACGACGTGCACCGATCCTCGTTCTCATTCTACGGACGCGACCCAACGTCGAGGGACGACGTGCCTCCGCTGCGGACCATGCGTCCCCAACGGCAACCCTCGATGGCACCAACGATTCACACGACCATCAGCGGCGCAGATACTGAGAGCTCTTGGCAAAGTTGGGGCGCCGGCCTGGGGCGGCCGCAGTACCAGCCAGACCCAATGCCCTCCCCCAAGGGCTGGCTGCACAAGTTCCCTGGCTTCGGGCCAAAGTGAGGCCGGCGGAGGGTGGAGGTGGGAGTTGCTTTGAATTGAATACGAGATCAGATCTGTGACGGGCATGACATTTGTGATTATGTGCATAGAAGTCTGCCTGGCAATGACAAACGTTTTGAATGCTCCCGTTTTCTTCTGTACCGGCTGAAATGCCCATGTGGCCGCGTGATAAGTTGAACGCAGGCTCGCCACACCTACCGCTGTAACCATGTCTATCACACCCAACAAGTTTCCAGACCAAGCTAGTCGCTGAATGTGCACACGGCTCTCGGGGGCAAGAATTCGAAGAGCCGATACAGCTGAGAGGTTGGTGCCTTGGGTCATTTCGTCTAGCTAGCAGCTGTTTCTTGCGGTCCCCAGAGGTCTGCGAACCCACCAACACAGCGAGATGCAGGATGTCATGTCACGTCACGAGGGATCCATCAATACAGGAGAAGCACGGTGACTCTGATCATTCCACTCTAGCCTTCCACCCGGGTGCTGGAACCGGTCGACTTGATGTTGGACGCTGAACGCCGTATCCTGCCCACGCCCCAGCTGCTCCTCTCTCTCGCGCATCACAGGGGCGAGCCAACTTCCTACCGGCCGTCGCAGTCCAACTCTCACATCGTCGCTGGCCCGCAAAGCCACTCCGCCGCCAGCGTCTGCCCGGCGCCGCAGTCCCAACGCGCCGCGGGAGGGACATCCCCGCAGACGCCGAGGCGCGTCTCATCGGCCTCGCCGCCGACGGCCCAGGCCACGTAGGTCGGCAGCTGGCCGCAGCCCCGCCAGCGGTAGGCGAAGCCCGCGCTCAGCTCAAAGGCCTGGTCGCAGGGCGCACGGCCCGGGGCCGCGTACGGGACGGCCGAGCTGCAGGCCGTGCCGTTGTCGTCTTGGAGCAGGGCGGCGCTGCTGAGGAGGGTTGGGCCGCGGAGCAGAGACGCGAGGTAGACGCTTGACGTGGGCGAGGGATGGCGGGCGCTGGAGGACGATGCGACTGCGTGGGAGGTAGAGGGCGCCGTCTGGGCGAGCGATGAGGGTTTTGAGCTGCCCCTAGGGTAAGTACCCTGTCTTGGGTGACCGAGAGAAGCACAGGAGTCACGAGATATCGCTGCCGTCGCTGGCAGAATGGCCCTTGCCTGCTGCAAGACCGACGCCTATGCCGCATCCAATAGCTACGCCAGCACAGACGATGGCGATGAGCAGCAGCGGTATCTTGCACCTCTGCCACCAGGATCTACCCCTGTCTCCGATAGATGAAGCTTCGGACGGTGCTGTTTTGGACTCGTCCGAGGGCTTCTCTGCTGCGAGCGTACCTGCTCTCTGGGTCGTGTGGGAACTCGACGACCTCGGGAATTGAAGAATATGCAGTCTCGGGGTACGACCTCTCTCGCCAATCGACTTCGGGGAGGGAATTGCTGTCGACTTTGGGCGAATCGTCAATTTTGCGTCCAGTGAGCGAGGGGGTCGCCGGGTCCTTGACATCAACACCAGCTGATGAAGTGCATGCTACGATCGTCATAGTGATGGGTTGATCTCCTCGCCTGCCAAAAAGGGGTATGATGCTCTCACCGGTGGGTGAGCTGGATGGATTTGGATGGGATCTCTGCAGCACCTTGGCGGAGATCACTCGAAGTGAAGTCTGGAAAGGCGGGGGCAAGGCTACTGCTCATGACTGCGACCATGTATGGTGTACAACAAGCACAGCAGGGAAGGCGTCTGCGTTCCACTCATCGCCGAATCGATGGGCGGCAATGAGAGAGACGACAATGGTGGACACTCCGGTCTGTGCAACGCACTCAAACTTTCAACGGCCATCTAGGTCAAGCACAGTTCAAACGTCGTGGTCTTGAACGAGAGCCCAGCATTTGCGCATGCCTGTCCCCATCGACTCGGCTTCGACCTCGTCACTTGTCGCCCAACGCTCACCACCGGAAGCCGACTCAGGACCAGCCAACTCGAAAAGATGGACATGCATCGTCAGCTTCAGATGCGAGAACAGCCAGGGCACAGTACCCAGTTCGCCTGCATGCTTGAGGCTCGCCTGCTTGCCCAGGAGGCTGGCGACGTGCGCTTTTGCCATCTTGACACGCGCGCTCGAAGTCTGGGCCCCGTCGGGAAGGATTTTCGAAGGCAGCTCCCACAACCCGGCCAGAAGCCCCTTTTCAGGCCGCTTATGCAGCAAGAAGCAACCATCAGCTCGGCGTATGGCGCAGACGAGGGTGTCTTCCTCGCGCACGGCCTTCTTGACCACTTTGAGAGGAAACTTGCGGGCATGCTCAACAATGGCCTCCATCTGGCGTTGCGTCGGTTTCGAGTCAACGTTCGGAGCGCTCTTGGCTTTTGTGGACGACGAGTTGAAGAAGGCAGACAGAGTCCCTTGCTTTGCCCCTTTCTTGACCGGCTTCTCTGCCACGGCAGGCTCGGCCTCTGAATCGGCAAACGACGCACACAATGTACACGAGTCTTCGATGTCCGGCACACGAGCGGCCTTGGACTGGTCTGCGAGCGCCAGGCCTTCTGCATACGCGCGACAGCTCGCCGTGATGGGACACTGCGCGCAGTCCGGCTTGGGGGTGCAAATGGTGCTGCCCAGCTCCATCAGCGCCTGTCCCCACCGCCCCGGCCGATCGCTCACAGGGGGCTGATCGTCACGGCTGCGGCCGCCGGTGTCGCCATCGCTGGCGACCGCCTTGACGAGGGCATCGGCGGCAGCCCACAGCATGTCGATGGTGGTCTTGTCCGTCTTGACGTTTCCAAAGACGCCGAGCTGTCGACTCAGCACGCGCAGCACGTTGCCATCGACCATGGGCGCGGCGTGGCCGAAGACGATGGCCGAGATGGCGCCGGCGGTGTAGCGTCCGACGCCGGGGACCTTGCTCTCGAGCTCGGCCACGTCTTGGGGCAGCAGGCCCTGCATCTTGTCGTCTGCGACGACAAGGCGGGCGGCCTCGTGGATGCGGGTGGCGCGGCTGTAGTAGCCCAGGCCGCGCCAGGCCGAGAGGACGTGGTCGGGCTCGGCGGCAGCGAGGTCCTGGATGGTGGGCCATTTGGCGGTCCAGCGGTTCCAGTAGTCTATGACGACGGCGACGCGGGTCTGCTGCAGCATGATCTCGCTGATCCAGACCTCATAGGCGCGACGTTCGAGGTCGGCACGGGCGACGGGGGCGGGGAGAAAAGGCTTGCGCCAGGGCATTTGACGGGTGGTGCTCACGGAATCGAACCATGTCAGAAGGTCTCGGCGGTGTGAGACGCTGTCGAGGAGGAGAGGGCGATGGTAGCGGAGCGCGTGGCTTCGCAGCGGGGGTACAGCCGTTGGTGAGGGTGAGGGTGAAGGTGATCCTTGGGCGAAAAGGCTGGTGTATGGCGCGTGGCTGCTCTTCTTCCGGACGGCGGTCTTTCGCCTCTTCGGCTTGGGTTCCTCGGATTCTCCATCGTCGGATTGCTCTGGTTTGCTGTTGGTCGTGCTGGGCGACGCGTCTTCTAGGGGTCGAGAGCGTGTCTTGGCCTTTGATGATCGCACTGGCATGGGTGTTGGCTTCACCTCCGGTTCGGAGCTGTCGGCCTCAGCCTGACCCGATATCTTTCTCGCCGCAGCAAGAGAAGACTGTCGACGCATGGTGAAGGCAGCACGTCTCATGCTATGAAGAAAGCAAGCCCAGTTGGCAGTGGACAGAGGCAGTGGACAGAGGCAGTGGACAGAGACATGGACAGAGGCAAGAGCAGACGCGTCGAGGTCGGGGCGAGGTTGAGCTGGAGCTTGTGCACGGACCATTTGGGGGTCGCGTCTTGCGTCTTGCTCGATCGCCAGCAGCTCGACTCTCGTTTGACATCGAACCTCTTTCCTCGCTGTCGATTACCTCGCTGTCGATTACCTCGCTGTCGATTACCTCGCTGTCGACTACTTTGCTTTCGACAACCCTGCTTTCAAGGCTCTCTCTTAGAAGGGACGGATTGTCCCAACATCGGCACATGCTTCAGCGAAAGGAGAAGATGATCCTCACATCAGTCAGCCTTTGGCAACCATGCCCATGTCGTCGCAACAGAATGACCGTCTATTGTGCCGTCTAGCTCTGCACTCGTCGAACGAAATGCTCACTCCTCCTTCCAGCCATCGCCGGCCACCGTCATCCAGTTGACGGCCGCCAGCTTCAGTCCGTGCTTCGCAGCCCACTCGGCCGGCTTGAACGACCGCCGCTGCACAAACTCCTCCCCGCCGACGTCCTCCTTGGTCAGCTGCAGACCCTCGGGCTCGCGGAACAGCAGGAACAGGTATCGGTGCGGCTTCGAGCTGTGTGTCACGACAAGGTCAGCATTCGCCATGCAGAGCATTCTCCATGCAGAGCATCCGCCATGCAGAGCATCCGCCATGCAGAGCATCCGCCATGCAGAGCATTCGCCATGCAGGGAGAAGGGGAGCGACACGACGGGGCCACACCAGGCGCAACGTACTCATCCTTGGGTCCCGGCCCCAGGTACTCGGTCAGCGCCGGCTTCGTCTCGGCCACGACCGTCTCGCCGTCGCTCAGCGGCTGCAGGCCCGGCACGACCCAGTGCCTCCAGAAGGCGAACTGCGGGTTGTCGGGCGTCGGCGCGTCGGGGTCCGTCAGCAGCAGCAGGTACGACGTCGTCGCCGCGGCGCCCTCCTCGGCGGCGAAGGCGATGCTCGGCGGCACCTTGCACTGGCCGGCGCGGAAGAAGGTGCCCAGCTCGAGCGCCTTGCCGTCAAAGGCCACGTCGAGCTTGGTCGCCGGCTGGAAGTTCTCGGGGATGAGGCCGTCGGCTGAGCCGGGCACGAGCTTGGCCTTGGCCAGCGACGCCGCGAGGGCCTGCGCGTGCGCGTCGAGGGACATGGTTCTGCTGACTCGTCCTGCTTCGTGGGCCTGTACGATCGGATTGTATAGTCTGTCTCTTTTGTCGTCTCTTTTGTCGTCTCTTTTGTCCTCTCTGTTCTCTGTTCGAGTTCTACGCGTCGCCAATCGTCGAGCGGTTCTGGTCAGTTGCCAGGTCGGGAAAGCCACTCGACCTGCTGGGGACGCGAATTGATCAAACCCTTTCCATCTATATACCCTCACACACATGATCATACAACTCTCTCAAAAGAAAAACCCCCCGCCAGGGCAGTGTGTCGATGAGTACATGGAGTTGAGCCAGATTTTCCACCAGTCAGCACCACGACATCACCATGTCGCGCTCCTTTCGTCACGTCCGCCCGCGCTGCCCCTCTACATACCCCTCTGTTCCCCCCACATTGTGAAGCCCGCCAAGGCGTGCGGGCACCGTTCAGGGTTGCCGATCGCCTGCAGAGAACGTACATCAGACGATAGAGTCGCATTGGCGCAAGCCCCCTCCAGGACAGGGATCCGGGGGCAGCTTGAGGGGGGAGTGCTTGGCACGGAGCAAAACGTCGTCGCGGCATCGTTGGCGGGTTTCCCTCCCGCCGTCCGTCCGGCTGGCGGGTCGAACTGTCCTATTTCTTGCCTGGTCCTCTTTTCTCCTGTACAGCTGTACAGGGATCGTTCTACGTTACCATTCTTCGTATCGTCGTGCCCTGTTGTGCCGAGTCGCATCATGCCTCCAAGTCGCAGAATCGCAGAAACAAGCATAAAGACCATATCGCTCAATGCAGTATCGGTCCCCCCCCCCACACCACCTCGAGCCCGGAAACACAGAATGGACCCTACGCGGCACGCGCGACATTCTCATAGTACCACAGCCCATTGATGCGAATCCTTCTGCCCTCGAGTCCCCGCGGCGCAACTCGCGCCCCCATCCTCAACCATGCCGGCCCCGAACTGGCGCGCGCCGCGCCTGCGACGACCCTGCGGCCTTCGGCCTCGTCCTTCGTCCGCGTCTCGGTCATGGTCTTGATGGCGTCGAGGTCGGGGCCCGACGCGGCGCAACGCTGGTGTTTCTGGCACCGATGGGCCGTGCACTCGTCGCACAAGTCGGTCTTCATCCTGTCGCGCCGTGTCGTGCCCCGCGACGGCACGCACAGGAGGCCCTGTCGCTGGGACGCGGAGAGCGAGGGGCGGCGATTGAGCGTCTTCTTGTCACGGCTGCTGGGGAGGACGGGGCACGCCAGCTGTGCGCCCTCGGGCGTCGTGAGAGTAATTGTTGGAATGCCTGTGCTGTGGGGGCTCTGCTGAATGCCCTTGTCGACCGTCATTGTGTGGTGGGTGTTGCGGGGCAGGAGCGGGAAGAAGCGCAACGGCGCGCACGATAGACCCTGTGCAGAGATTGTATGGACTGTTGCGCGGTGGTGGTGCTGGCGGTGGTGGTGGTGTTGGTGCTGGTGGTGTTGGTGCTGTTGTTGGTGTTGCTCGTGGTGCCTGCGATGTTTTTGCGCGATCGAGTCGAGCCCAAAAATGGTGAGAGGATTCAGAAATGCGACGATGATGCCCCATCGCTCGCCAGTCCTTAACTAGCGCCACCAGTGGAGGTGTAGAGCAACACCACCCACCTTGAGGGACAAAACCTTTAGGGACAAACCCTCGGGTTCGCAGAACTCTACCATGTCGCGGACCCTTCTACGAACCCGGAGAACCATGATTCAAGCGACCACCGTCACCGACCGGCATCTGGCATGAACGCTCATCGCTAGGTACCTTGTTTTTGGTGGAGTTCTGCACGATCATGTTGCAGAACTCTTGCTTCCTAAACCATCGAAGGGGCTTCTTCATACCACTGTCCGATGCGCTGCACCGCACGACGCGTCTATGTTGTTCTACGTGGAAGGAGCTGTCACTGACTTTAGCATCTTTGCGTTTAGGGCGTCGTTCACCTACACAGCGAGAATGGAGGCAATACTCCCTCCACCTGGACGGAAACCGCGAGATCAGAGAAGCCGTGTGTATCCTCACGCCTAGGGGTCCCCGGCTCCTCATGCAGACGAATAAGAGACAGACAATGGAATTGCATCCCCAGACATGACGCGGCCGCCTACCGCGCGCCAAGCCCCTCCTCTTCCTCCTCCTCCTCCTCCTCCTCGGCGGCAGATTCATACCCCATGCCCCCCTCCGTCTCCAGTGGCAGCTTCGCGTGCCGCGGTTCACCGACCATCATGAACGCCGCGCCCGCGCCCGCGTACAGCACGGCGAGGTACATCCACGGCAGCCCCCGCAGCACGCCGCCCCAGCGCATGCCGACCGAGAAGCTCCACGCGAGCACCGGCCCGCCGATGAACGACCCCAGCGTGTCGACGATGCTGCACAGCGCATACAGCCGCGACGTGTGCTCCTTCCTCTCGGCGAACGCCGTCGTGATGGCCCGCGTCAGCGGCGCCGTCGCCGACCCCAGCATGCCGAGCGCGTAGGTCAGCAGGAACGGCGCCACCGACGGGCTCAGCGCCTGGAGCACCGACGAGCCCGCGAGCACGCCGTACGAGACCCGCGTCAGCAGGAGGTCCTTGGTAAAGCTCGTCAGCCCGAGCCGCCCGCCACGCGGCGTGAGGAGGTGCGCCGACACCCGCGGCAGCGCCACGAGCACGAGCAGGTGGCAGAGCGCGAGCGGCGAGTGCACGTACGTCGTCTGCGCCAGCGACCAGCCGAAGTGCTTGCTGATGTACTGCGTGAACGTGGTCGAGTGCGACGTCGAGCTCGCGTTCGAGATGAGCGGCGCCGCGAGGCAGTACAGCAGGCTGCGGTTCCGCAGCAGCGCTCGTATGCCGGCGACCTCGGCGAGGTGGGAGGAGACGTGCCGTCGGACCGCCGCCGCGAGGGGCCGCCTGGGCGAGGGGACGCCGCGCCCGCCCGGCAGCTGGATGGGGAGCGTCTCCGGCAGCAGGCTGGCCGCCGTGACGACGACGGGGCTCAGATAGAACACCAGCTTGATGGGCACCCACGGTCCGTACGTCTGCAGTAGAAAGCCCGACGCCAGCGGCACGCCGAGGCCGGCGATGACGCCGCCGATGGAGAGGTAGAGGAAGTGGGTCGACCGGTTCTCCTCGGTGCTCACGTCCGATGCCATGGCGTAGATGCTGTTCACGGCCGCCGACACGCCACCGCCGATGAGGAAGAAGAACTGACCCAGGAGCAGGGTCCACAGATTCGGCTGCTTCGATACCGAGAGGACGAACGGCGCCCATCCAAAGCCGAGCAGTATACCGAGATAGGCAAGGAAAAACGCGGGCTTGCGGCCGAGCCTGCGAGTTTGTCAGTTTTCGAGGCATTCCCGAGCCATCCTACTGAAAGAAAGAAAAAAAGAAAAAAAAAAAGGGTCAAGCTCACCTGTCAGCGAGCACACCATAGGGGAAAGCGACGACGAGGGTGACAAGTGCCCCTATCACGGCGCCAGTGCCGAGCAGGTACGCCAGTTGCGATTGTATCTCGTCGACCTTGCACTCCTTTTCCTCAATCGGCTCGGAGAGGTCCTTTTGGTAGTGCACATGACAGATGGCATCCTCTACCAGGCGAAACAAGGGCGTCAGGAAGAGAATGCCGCTGGAAAACAGTGTCGCCTTCAGACACGCGAGCAGCGCGACAATGGTGAACGGAGTCGTGGGTCGGAGAGCGTCCAAGGTATGCCTGGGACCAAGGCGTCGCCAAGGAGCCCAACTCTTCGTCCATTGTGCGCGGCGCTGCGAGAACGATAAGCCTATCAAGTGCTGGCCCTCGACTTCACCGCCAGGGAAAGGGTCGAAGTCGTCGTCGGGGTCGTCTGCAAGCAGGGGATCGGCATCTAAGGGAGAATCGTCGCCGTGTTGATCCATCGTCACGACGCGATCGAATAATCTGCTTGTTTGACGGCGAGGAGGCCTATGTGTTGGTCTGCCAGTCGTGATGTGTCCACGTGGCAAGGAATCAGATTCTCTCGGACGTCGGAGCCGAAAGCTTGTTATTCACGTATTTCTAAGCAAATGAGCCAACCCAGCCGCGGCCTCGCAACCATCTTCGTGGCAACGCGTGTTTCTATAACAAAGACGATATAGCATCCAAGCAACGCGCGGTCCGCCGCCAAGATCTACCTGGTCAGTCGCGCGACGCTGAACCGGCGACTGACGGGGACATTCATCGACGCCAGACCACGGTATTTGGCCACGCGGGAGGAAGTATCCTCTAGAGTAATTTGTTACCCCGAAGACTATCGTCGCCGACAGGACATCGAGGATATCTGCCCAAGACCTAAACACTCACTACTCACAACTACTTCTCGTGCGGCGGGAACGCCTTGCGCGCCAAACCCCCTACCCTGCCCGCGCTGACCTATCACCTACCTGGTTCTCGCCCACCGCATCACATGGAACCACCTTTGCAGCAGTGGGCTGTATGTAGTGTGGGCGTGGGTGAGCTTTCAATGTAGATCTGGTGCGTTACGGAGCCTTTTTCGCACTTGCCCTGTGGTATGGAACCGGATTTGTGGGATCGAAGAGCGCAGAACGGGTTCGAGCGAAGGCCCCGAGGACGCTGTTGCTAACACGGTGCGCACCGGCCGGACAACCCGTCAGACGTTCCTGTGAGCCGTCTAGGTCTGCGGGCGCGTGCATGCCGCATAATCATTTACATGCGCTAGGTTCTGCACGATATAGCCGTGAATTTGAATCAGTTGGTTCGATTGACAACGAATCCTAGTCTAGTCATCAAGCGTCATAAGGGAATCTCTACTACAACACCAGTGCACCTAGGCAATCTCCTTCCGCTCATCCCTCTTCTCAGCATGCTCAGACTGGCCAATGTTGTGTTCAGCAGCCTCGGCCTTCTCATCATAAATGGCATCCTGCTCCTCGGCATCCTTGTTGCCAAAGAGACCAATCCTGTACCAGGGCAGATCGAACAGCCTGTCCATGCTCTCAAGCGAGCGACCGCCAGTCTCGGGCACGAAGAACCACACCCAGACGCCGCCAATGATGGTAACGGCGGCGAAGCACCAGAAGGTGCCCTTGGGGCTGATACCACCGTGGCCCGCGGGCAGGAGCATGTTGGGCACGGCGCGCGAGTTGCCGTACTGGTTGCTGAAGTGAAGGGTCATGGCCCACGAAGTGGCAAGGGCACGAATGCGCAGAGGGAAAAGTTCGGCAGTCAGGAGGTACTGCATGGAGTTCCAGCCGAGAGCCCAGCCGAAGCCCGAGATGTAAATCATGGCAATGGCGCCACGGCTGGCACCGAGGTCCTTCTTCGGCACCTCAAAGCCGTCGACAACACCGAGCTGGGGGATGCCCGTGAGGAACCCAGCGACGTAGATCATGGCAATAGCCTGCAGGCTGATGCCGATGAGGAGAGCGCGCTTGCGGCCGATGACATCGACAAGGAACAGGGCGCAGATGATGGCGGCGCAGAACTTGACGATTCCGAAGACGGCGGTGACGAGCAGCGATTCGTTCTGGCCCGTGACACCAAGGATCTCGAATAGGTCGGGGGCGTAGAGCGTGATGGAACCAGCACCAGACCACTGCGAAAGAATCTGAACCATGCTCGTGAGATAGACACGGTAGAGGTTGCTGGGGACAAGGAACATCTCCTTGATCTTGCCGAAGAAGCTGGCACCGCGGGTAGCCTCGAGCTCGGCCTCATGGGACATTTGAATGGCGCTGATCTCGCGCACGATGTATTCGTGGTCCTCAGGCAGGTGGCGCAGGTGAGACATGACAGCAGTGGCCTCCTCGACCTTGCCCTGCTTGACGAGGAAGCGAGGGGACTCGTACTGGAAGAAAGTGAGGATGAAGATGATGCCAGCAAACATAATGTGGAGCGAAGTGGGCACGAGCCAACGGTTGTGCGTGTTGTCGCCGAGATGGAGCTGACAGCCATAGTTGGCAAAGTATGCGAGGACAATGCCGAGATAGACGAAACCGGTGAACATGCAAGTGCAAAGACCACGGATTGAGGCGGGAGCGATTTCGGCGAGGTAGACGGGGCCGACGACAGGGGTCTGGCCGACGCCAAGACCGGCGATGAAGCGGCCCGCGTAGACGGCGCCGAGGTGGCCGTTGTTGCACATGAAGATGATGATACCGATAGCCCAGACAACACAGAGCTGGCGTGTGGCCCAAATACGGCCGATCTTGTCGCAGATGAGGAAAGCACTAAAAAAGTTAGATTCGGCATTGCAAGGATCAGACGCGGGCGTGCGCGTGTGACGTCGACTTACATGAGAGCGCCGCCGACGGAGCCAATCTGGACCATGGCCGAAACATTGGCCTTGATGTTGGTCTGTTCGACATGGTCGTAGTTCTCGTAGTGGATGAAGCGCTGGAAGTCCTTCGACTTGAAAGCGCCGGAAATGAGACCCTCGTCAACACCACGCGCCGCACCGAGCAGGCCAAAGGAGACGACGGCAAACCATAGTCGCCAGTTGAAGACTCCCTCGGGCTCGCCCAGGTTCTTCAAGTTGAAGATGTTCACGGGCTTCTTGACGCCGCCTGCCATCTTGGGCTGTCTGTGAGGATGAACGGAGGAAGAGTATCAATGAGAGTGGAGAGGCGAGGCGAGGCGCGTCGAGAAGGCTAGACACTCAGATGGGAGACCAAGCTGTTCTGCCCCAACCAACTTGGGGGGATGCGGCTTCCATCCTTTTTATTTCTTTCTGGACATCTACTCTGGTGCTACCACCCCGCTTGTCTTACCCCTCTGCCCCTCATGCCCCCTAGGGCATCGTGGGGACCTGAAGCCTCCCCCATGGAGACGGATCTGAGGAATGGTTGCATAGACTTACTCGCGCGCAACACGCCCACTTCGTGACCTACATGGTACAACGAGGTTGCGCTGAGAAGTCCGCCGCGCTCACAAGTCGCACGCAGCGTGTGGAGTAGCCTTGGTGAAGCAAGTCGTCTCATGACTGGTCCAAGTGGTGCAGCAGTCGGTCATTCCTCCGGCCGCTCTCATGCCTGGGCAGGGGACGACGGGCAAGGAAGGGGGGGGGGGTTCCGGTGGCGACGATAATGGACCGCGTGGATTCCATCTCGCTTGCCCGAGGCCCTGGCAACGTTGAATTGGTCGTCGGTCGTCGGTCGGCGTCTAGAAGGCCTGGGCCCAATGAGAAGGGGTGTGATGGTCAGACCTGTTGTGTTGAGCCCCCCAAGAGAGTCCCCCAAATAAGCCCCCCAACCCCCATGGAGAGGGATGGGTGGCTACGTTGGCTCCGCAGAAACGCGAGAAAAACATGCTTAAATGGTCGACCCATTGTTGCACGATTTGTCGGCCAAGTTCCGTCCAACGAGGGCGCGAGAATGGAACAAGAAAGCTGTTGTCCGGGGGTGGACGTCCATGCCAAGCCGGGAAAGGCGCTGTCGGAGACCCATGCCAAGCCCCGGTTTTCACGGATCAGACGGCAGACGACCGTCCCTCGACTCCGGTAGCGGCTGAAATGGCACGAGTCGTGACGCCAAATTGCCTCGACGAACACGGCGCTCTCACATTCGGAGGGACTCTTGATTGGCCATTCAAAGGGACTTGGGGTCCAGAGGTGTGGGTAGTGTGTGTCAGACGGCTAGGTCGGCATCGGAAGTGTGGTCTGGGTACCGGGCGGCCACCGTCGAAGTGCCGCTAGAGCCTCAATCACGACCAGGCGGCCTGCTTGTTCTTGTGGTCACACACTCTCTTGAAGCCCGTTTTCCTGTCGGGTTGCCTTGATGGGATGCAGCGTCGATCCTGCGTTGCGGGACTGAGCGATTTGCGAGCGGACCAAGCCCGACAACGCTGCCAAGCAGGGACACCGGCTTTCAAAGGTGGCATTGATTCGATGTTAGCAATAATTTGGTGTGCCTCGTGGCTAACGTCTTGTTGCGGAAGCACTCAAAGACATGGCCACCTGCTTGGAAGAAAGGGAGAACCATGCCGCTGCAGGCTTCCCTCGTGGCGGGCGGCGGCTGTGGCTGCTAAGGGCTTGTTTCCCTAGTAAGTGGACGGAATAAACCGAAGGCATCGGTCATTATTGGTATTAGCCGACGGGTGGCATGACGAGATGTTGCAGTTCCGAGGAGAAGGCATGGTAGCTGAAAGGCACCAACGACACACACAGGCGAAAACCGTCCGGGGGGGCTTCAAAACTCAATCTCCTAGTCGGGACGAACGCCGCCATGACTCGGGTTTGCCGACTGGCTCCTGTTTTGGGAGCCCGCGTGGCCAATTGCCATTGACGCCATTGTGCAGTTCCTTGAGCCAAGCCTGGCCAAGAGATTCGAAAGGCAGATCGACGCGCCTTCTTCGTGCTGATAGATCTTCCCGTCGATGGCGGGATACGTTTGAGATAGGAGTATCCTGGGTTCTGGTTCGGGGTATGGTGTTGACCGAAAGACGTAACCTGTCGAGCGAGTTGACGCAACTCAGGCAATTTTGCTGGCATCACGCATCCAGGGGGTCTGGGTCACGTTTGTTGCAGCACTAAGGAGCAAGGAATTGCCGTCTTTGTCTGAACTGGTGTGTCTGGAAGCGTCATTCATGCCTCTCCGTGGAAAGTATGATCGCCTGCGCACCTGCCCGACATGGGTGGCACGATACCTTCCTCCCTTCCACCCTTCGTCCCTGCTATTCTTCTCCCCTCCTTCCTTCCTTCCCTCTTCCCCATTCTCCATTCCCCGCCTCCGCTCCTCCCTCCTGCTATATCGTACCTGACATACTAAGGACCCTAGTGGAGGCACTGGTGCCACTTGCCTCGTGTCCCCTGCCCGATACCTTCCGGACCCCGTCCCACCCCCCTGACACTAGAGGTTTGGGGACGTTCGTTCGCGGATGTCCAGGAACTCGAGAAACCAAAGCTTCTATGCTCCAACGCACGAGATTCTCAGATCCAACACACGGGGTACTCGGTCTGTTCCCTACAACCTACTCCCTACTTCCCCGCACCCCATACCCCGAGTAATAATGGTCCCATTTTCCCCAACTTTGGCTTATTGACCCCGCGAGCTACTCGTATCGCCGACCTCCGAACCTCGCAGCCGACAGTCGATGGCAGGGCCCTCGGATGGCCGAGGCGTGGACAGGTAGTCGCGAGGGTCGCACTCTCGCTCACCCTGCGACAGTTGATCAACTCAGGACATGGAGTTACACATCGCCGAGAACATCACACCAGCAATCAGTTACCCCAGCCAAGCGACAAACGAAGCAACACGGGGCATCGATCTCACGACTTTGGCGCGCCTGTTATGCCTGCTCCTCGCGGTAACATCTCTGCCATGCACCCAGCAAACTATAAGATCACCCTGAGCGCGGCTAATGCGACACGACTGGCCTAAGAGAATCGCATGCAACATGACGAGAGCAAGTCCTGTACTTGACTAGAATCAGAGACGTTAGGCATCGCCTTGTTGTTACGAGCTTCAATGCGAGGAGATGCAAAATGGGCGTGTGATGGAAACCCACCATCCATCCAGCGGGTGAGCCGCCAAACGCCAAGACACGGCAAGGCTTTCCCATTCCATCTCCGCACAAGGCATGTGCGAAATCCCTCAACAGCGACTGTAGCATGCGGCTTGACTGCGAGCAAAGCTGCAATGATAATATAGACGAGAGCGAGTACACGCTACATGCGGCGCTTACTCTCGTACGCGTTGGCTCAAGACCCAATGTCTGGCGTGAGCCTTACCAAGGTGACAGAGTCGCCAGTGCGTCTTACGTCTCACGCGAGGCGGGGGAATCGTTTGGGTTCGCTGCAGCGGATGTAGATCTCGCCCGCAACTATGGTCGAAGCTCTCGATTCAGCCCCCACTCCCAGCTTACTCGCCTGCACAAGGTTGGGCGTCGCCGCCTTGTTTGGATTGTAACGCTGAGCAATCTTGGTCGTAGGCCGTGTTGTCCGTTGATGCATATTATATGATCGACTTGACATCAGAGCATCTTTGCAAAATTGGAGCCAACTTTCTCCTGGCGATGTAAAGAGCGCTAATAACTTGTCCTGTCCTTTGCAAGAGGACATGGTTAGAGAGAGTGAGCTTTGCAGCTAGACCTCAAGGAAAGGAGGCCAGACTTTTCTGCGCAGAAAGCAAAAGCGCACCACGAAACCGTCCATCAGATCAGCTCTAATCTCCCTTGGCCTAGGTAAATTGTCGCCAGCTGGATAAGAACAGACGGCCCGCAGCAGCCACAGAGGCGCACCTTACCATTCAGGACCGACAGGACTGGTCGAGATTCGACCTAGCCCCGTTAGACCAGGGGTTTGATTCGCACCAAGCCTTGGAAGGATGGGAGCTATGCCCTTCACAGTTGTTGCCCCAGACGCGGGAGCGGCTGCTTGGCCTGCACTGCCACCAGCCGCACGCGAGAAGGTATTTTTGGATGATTCCCGTGGAGCTACAGGGCTGGTACGGCCTGGCAGACAGCAAACGTTACGCCAAATGCTGTGCTGTGCTGCCCCATCAGCCCAATAAGCAATTACCCTGGCAGTAGACTGTACAGCCATCTCGCCCGCGCTGTTGGTGGTCCCAGCAAGCCCTTGCAAGCCCTTGCTGCAGGATTCGGCCTGCTTGGCGCAAATGGCGAACGGTCATAACATAAGGCTGTGTAGAGCCCGCACGCGGGGCGGCGGCAACAAGCTGACCTCTTGAGCTCGCGATCCCGCCCCTTTCTCGCGTCCACCGACACGCTTCACAAGCAGCCTCCGGCCGACATACAACACAGCAGCGATTCGGTCAACCTGACGCTTGCGAATACGACCATACAGACTACGGGACCGAGAGCGTTTTCATTGATAGCCGACATGTCGGTATCAGCAGGTATTGAGAGCCTTCCAGAGGCCACGGCCTCTGCTACAACAGACAGACCTGTGTCGGTGCCATCTTCGACCCCGCCGCCATCAGTACAACAGGCTTCTACCGAGTTTCAAGGATGGTCTATGGGTCCCACAGGAAGTAGGATACTGAACAACTCTTGCTTGGTGGCTCAGTGATTGACCAGAAAATGTGCAGCGTCTGCCATGATGTGTTCTTCTGGTGTCAATTTTCAGACATCTGGAAGATTTGGCATCTGTTGTGCATCGGACCCATGTTCTGTAAGCAACAGACCGATGTCGCGGACATTGTACCTCCCCTCCAAGTTGACTGTGACTTACACATTGGGATTAGATGGCCACCGTCTGCGAAGATAATACGGTGACCTACGACAATCAAGAGACTTTTGCTTGGTACGTCATTCATCCATGGTGAATGGGAATCATAATTGACAACTATACCAGCGGCACGTCCGCGGCCGACTTGGCGGCCGTGAAGGTTGTCTTGCTGGACATTGGTGGGTTCCGCCCATCCGCACCCTTTCACCTCCCAATCTTACATTACTCCCTCCATTGGCTCCCCTGGCCCCTCGCCCCGTGGTTTGGTAGTGTGATGTGAGAGGCTGATGATTTGTGTTCCTGTCAGAGGGGACTGTTTGTCCGATTTCTTTCGTCAAGGATGTCCTGGTAGGTTCTTCGTCGATATCTGGTCTACGTCGCCTGGGCCGCTAAGCCAACTCACCGCCTTAGATGGCATGGCCAGGCAGCATGTGAGCGGACATGGCACAGCTGACGACGTGGTTTTGCTCAGTTTCCTTACGCACTTCAAGCCCTGCCTGCGACTCTAGACAAGAAGTGGGATAGTCCAGACTTTGCTCCGTACCGCAACGCGTTCCCTGAGCCAGCAGCGTCCTCAAGGCCAGTTTTCGAGGCCCACGTTGCGGACCTTGTCAAGCGTGATGTCAAGGTCTCATACCTCAAGGCCTTGCAAGGCTACCTCTGGCTAGCAGGCTACGAATCAGGGGAGATTAAAGCCCCTCTCTTTCCAGACGTCTCTCCGAGCATGCGGGCTTGGCACGATGCTGGCATCAAGCTCATAATCTACTCGTCCGGTTCGGTTCCTGCGCAGAAGCTTCTCTTTGGGCATACCAATGCCTCACCGCCCAGCTTGATTCCCATCATTTCGGACTGGTTCGACACGGTCAACGCCGGGATGAAGATGGAATCTAGCAGCTATACGAGCATTCTCTCCAGATATCCCGACACTCAACCCCAGGAATGGCTTTTCTTGAGCGACAACGTGGATGAGGTTTCCGCCGCACGAGCAGCTGGAATGCACAGTCTTGTCGTGGTGCGCCCGGGCAACGCCCCGCTACCGGAATGCCATGTGGGCGAGGGCCAGGCCGTTCAAATCTTTGAGGGCCTGGCCGTCGGTGGGAAGCGAAACGAATCTTCGAAGAGCTCTTGATGCCGACTCAGGCACGCAGTCGAGTTTCGCATTATCCCTCTGCCCCGCATCCTAGTTTGGGCATGCTTCTCACGGCATATTCTGCATCAGGGCGATGTAGAAGCACCGACGCTGCAGCGACGGATAGTCTGCAGGTAGATAAATTTGACGCCATTAATTCATGCTTTATTGAGAACAATGGCAAAGTTGTTGCGATCTCCCCCGGCATTAACCTCTTTCTTGGGGAAAATCGGCAAGGGATTCCGAGGTGGCACCGTCCGCCTCCAAAGGAAGTACGCCAGCTTGTTGGTGTACTTGGTCTGTATGCACGTGTAGCCCAGCAGAGCCATGAGTTCAGTCAACCGCTCGAGTGAACAATATCGCGAGTTGTGCACACAACTACGAGGAAGCACGAGAAACAGTGCCGGAAATATTGCGCTGCCTTCCCCAGGCAGGTCGATCCGTGGTTCACGTAGGAATGCCAAGGTGCGATGCAGCATTCGACCCCGTAGGACAGGGTCGGGAACGTAGTTGAGGACCAAGCTAAGTGAGATGATTTCGAAGCGTTCACTGTCTTTCGTCGGCAAAGGGCGTTCCATAAAGTCTTGTTGAAGGATGTCGTCGTGTTGGCTGTTGAGATCGATGAGTTTCATCTCAAATAAGCCACTTCGCGAGCATTCATTTTCTGTGCTCAGTGCTCCCACCTCGAGCATGCGGAAGCGTTGATCTGGTACCGATGAGGCCGCCTTCATATGTGTGATAGCAGGCTTCAGCCACTCAAGAAGTACTTTGGAGCTGTCGCCGCCCCTATCGTTTCTCTGCCCTTGAAGGCTGGCCCGTTGATACTCTGCGATGCCGCCAAGGGACGAAATCTCTGCCTCGATAGCTGCTACTAGAACACTGTCATTGCGCGAGATGGCTTGTTGCCGTCTCTTCTGGAGTGTGTGGTGGGCGTTGATGAGCGTCCGAGTTTCTTTCCTGGATATCGAATGAACTTTGCGCTGTAGAGTTGGGGGGCGGCCTCGAGACAAGCTTGTGGTCGCATGTCTCTGTTTCCTCGCCATACTGGGCGATTAAGGCACGACAGAAGCTTGCTGGTGGTATGTGAAACTGCGAAAGCTGGTGATGCACTTGAGCTCCTGTAGTTCGAGAGATGAAAATTAGAGCCTTCTTATCACATGGACCACTATGTTTGCCTGGTCTCCCTCCAGCTCAGTACTCCACAGACATTGCTTACGTTAGGAAATTATTTCGAAGTTGGTTGAGGACGCTTCCTCACGTGACCTCATGATTCGGTCCCGCTCTAGCACCATGCCGACCAATCACAATTCCCGGTAAGCGGGCCCTCTCCGCTGCCCTAGCGGCTTTTCCAATATCGACACACAAACTTCACTCGTTTGCTTGAAAGGGAAAAAAAGTTCCCCTTCAGCGATTGACCTCGACACCATCCGACACGCCCAACCCGCCTAACACGTCCAGCAACATCGTCGAAATGGCTCCCAAGACGCAGACCAAGGGTAATACAACTTGACCCCAAAATCCTTTTTGCGCAACATGCGTCGCCGCACCAATTTGTTACTCCGGCATTTTCGACACCAGTTGCCTGGGCATCATGCAGCAGCAGACTTTGCGAGTTCTTCACAGAGCGATTGCTGATGCTTCTTCTCTAATCTAGGTGGCGCCTCCAAGGCGCCCAAGGGCTCCAAGCAGGCCAACGCTGCTGCTAAGGCTGCCCTCAAGGGTGTAAGTGCAGGAATTGCCGTTCTACTGAGTGTGTTTCTCACGCGGTCCGCTAATGCTCGATGCGCAGACCAACTCCCAGAAGAAGACCAAGGTCAGGTACACGACCAGCTTCCACCTGCCCAAGACCCTCCAGGTCTCGCGCTCGCCCAAGTACCCCCGCAAGTCGATCCCTCACGAGCCCCGTCTCGATGAGCACAAGGTCATCATCCACCCTCTCAACACCGAGAGCGCCATGAAGAAGATCGAGGAGCACAACACCCTCGTCTTCATCGTCAACATCAAGGCGAACAAGGCCCAGATCAAGCAGGCCCTGAAGAAGCTCTACGACATTGACACTGTCAAGATCAACACCCTTGTCCGGTATGTGTTGGAATCAAACCCAAGTCAGCGCTGCCCATAACTAACCGAAGTGAAGCCCCGACGGTTCCAAGAAGGCCTACGCCCGCCTTACGCCCGATGTCGATGCCCTCGACATTGCTGCCACCAAGCTGGCCCTCGTCTAAAAGGTGATTGGAATCGGTCTGTTCGGTCTATTCGGTGGAGGACTTTCACTCGCAAAGCATGGGCATAGGGCGTCACAGGTTGTCATTTTAAACGCCTGGTGTGGCAACACCATAGGCACCCAAACACAATCGACACGTCGATTTAGTGTAGTCGGCACGCGTACCGAAAACACGTCCACAATCCACATGAACGCCGAATCGCTGAGTCTTTGTAACATGAATTGCGGTGACGATGCCCCTATGATTTGTGCATGTCCCGTCAACAGGGTGAAGTCCGAGCTCTTTTGGACTGCACATGCGACGAACGTTGTCAATTTAGTACACATGATATTCCACTTTTGATGATACAGTTATGCCGTCATGTTCTTGTACAAAATCTTCTTTTTAACCAGAACGCATGCTGTTCAGGTGCTTCATGGTCAAGAAGTTGACATCCAAAAACCTGTCGACGCAGTTTGCTAGACATTTCTCCTCACCATTGTCCAGCTTGGATCCTCGAATGGAGCCCGTGACACACTTTTTCCAGCAGATCTCGGTGAGCGCATGTGTTTCTACGACATGTTAGTACGCCTGTATCTGCAGGGACGATCAAGTGGCGGCGGACGAGCGGCCGTAGGCAGTGAGGGACGCACGGGACTGAATCTGCGATCTTTGCGACTCGTTGGCAAGGAACTGACGAAGCTCCTGCTTGTCCTTGTCGTTGAGCTTTTCGAGGTCTGAGTTTTCGATTCCTTGTCGCGAGGCGTCCATTTTGGCAGATCTGAGAGGAACTGGGTGTCAATCGGAGTTATGATTGAACAAAACCAGAAAACTTACGCTAACGAAGTTCAGTTGATACTGCGGAAGGCTTGAGGGTGCTGTTGTTGTTTTTGCGTTTGGTGAGAATGTGAGACCTTGGAGCAATAGGAGGTCGTCACAGGATTCAACGCTGCAACACCAGGTCTGCTTGCACCTCAGGCCGTCAACCAAGCTCGCACGAAGCTCAGTCATCAAGTGAGCTGCTTATCCATATCTTATCTTCTTATCTGTCACAATGTGGGGTTGACAGAGGGGTAGTTCAGTTCCCGCTTGCTTCCGCACCCATCAACACAATCAGGCAAGTGGGGGAATTTTTTTTTGTCCCCCAGTCACCCCTCCATCACTCAACCTACCGATATCGCTTCAAAATTTGCCAACCATTGCGATGGCTTCTACCATGCGGATCTTGCTTATTGGTAATGGCGGTCGCGAACATGCGCTCGCCTGGAAGTTGAGCCAGTCCCCCACCGTCGAGGCCATCTTTGCGGTTCCGGGCAATGGTGGCACTGCGACCTGTCCCAAGACCACCAATATCTCCTCCGTTGCTGCGGACGATTACCCGGCGCTCGTCGCATTCGCCAAGTCCAATGCAATCACATTGGTTGTTCCTGGCCCGGAGGCGCCTCTCGTCGATGGCGTCGAGGGGTACTTCCGCGACGCTGCGATTCCCTGCTTCGGTCCCTCCAAAGAGGCCGCTCGCATGGAGGGTAGCAAGACCTTCTCCAAGGACTTTATGAAGAAGCATGGGATTCCCACCGCCGCTTACGAGAACTTTTCCGACTTTGACCAGGCTCTCGCATACCTCGATCGCATATCGCATAATGTCGTCATCAAGGCCACCGGACTCGCCGCCGGCAAGGGCGTCATTATCCCGGCTACCAAAGACGAGGCGAAGGCTGCTCTGAAGCAGATCATGGTCGACAAGGCTTTTGGAGACGCGGGACAGGAGGTTGTCATCGAAGAATTTCTGACCGGCGACGAGCTCAGCATTCTCACTTTCAGCGACGGTACCCACACCATCTCGCTGCCTCCGGCGCAAGACCACAAGCGGATCGGAGATGGAGACCAGGGCCCGAACACCGGCGGTATGGGCTGCTACGCACCCACCACAATTGCCACGGATGCATTGATCAAACGCATCGAAGATGAGGTTGTGCAGCCTACCATTCGAGGCATGCGTCAAGACGGCATGCCCTTCAGGGGCGTCCTGTTCACTGGGCTCATGATCGGCCCTGACGGACCCAAGACTCTTGAATACAACGTCCGCTTTGGCGACCCAGAGACGCAAACTGTTCTGCCGCTTCTGTCTGCCGATACCGATCTTGCCGAAATCATGCTCGCATGCACGGCGCACGAAGCTCGCCTAGATTGCGTCAAGGTGAAGATCGAGCCAAAATTCAGCGCTACCGTCGTTGTCGCTGCTGGAGGTTATCCCGACGCCTACGCCAAGGGCACGCCGATGAATGTGCAGGCGTCAAGCTCGCCTGACATCACCGTCTTCCACGCCGGAACAATACTCACGGCGGAAGGACAGCTCCAGACTGCGGGCGGTCGGGTTATTGCCGTCAACGCGACGGCTGCCGAGTCCCTGGAGGCAGCGGTCAACAAGGCATACCAGGAGGGTATCAAGCTGATCCAGTTTGACAAGATGTACTACCGCAAGGACATCGCTCACCGCGCCTTTCGAAACAAGACTGGGGCTAAGGAGGCGCTCACATACGCCGCCGCCGGCGTGAGCGTCGACGCTGGCAATGACTTTGTGGAGCGTATTAAGAAGGCTGTGAGGGCCACAAGACAGCCTGGTGCAGATGCTGAGATTGGAGGCTTTGGAGGTGAGGTAGATTTGGCCAAGTGTGGCATTCAGACGGAAGATGGACAGCTTCCCATTGTTGTTGGTGCCATCGACGGCGTGGGTACCAAGCTGCTCATTGCGCAGAAGATGGGCAAACATGACACGGTGGGCATCGACTTGGTCGCCATGAATGTGAACGACCTGGTGGTTCAGGGTGCGCGACCTCTCATGTTCCTTGACTACTATGGTTGCAGCAAGCTGGACCTCAGCACGGCGGCATCCTTCGTTGAGGGTGTGGCGGCGGGCTGCATCGATGCTGGCTGCACGCTGGTCGGCGGAGAGACTGCCGAGATGCCAGGCATGTACCAGAAAGATGACTACGATGCGGCGGGCTGCGCCGTTGGCGTCATGACTGGCCGCCACCGACTTCCGCGTACTCAGGACATGGCACAGGGAGATGTTCTTCTGGGACTTTCTTCAAGTGGCGTGCACTCGAATGGGTTCTCACTCGTTCGCAAAATTGTGGAACGCGAAGGACTGCAATATTCCGACCAGGCGCCATGGGACCAAGGTCGGAGCGTGGGCGAGAATCTGCTGACACCAACACGAATCTATGTGAAGAGCTTGCGCGGAGTTGTCGAAAAGGGGCTTGTCAAGGGACTCGCACACATCACCGGTGGAGGTCTGATCGACAACGTGCCTCGTATGCTGCCAGACGAACTCGCTGCCGAGATAGACTTGACGTCATGGCAAGTGCCGGCCGTCTTCAAGTGGCTCAAGATCAGCGGTAATGTTGAGGCGCTACAAATGTGCCGCACATTCAACATGGGCATCGGTATGGTGGTGGCTGTCGGCGTGGACCAAGTACAGGATACTGTAGCAGCGTTGGAGGCTGCGGGTGAACAGGTCTCCCGAATTGGGCGGCTTGTGAAGCGAGACGGTGAGGCTTGCGTCATGACAAACCTGAACTCTGTGGTGTGGGAATCATGAGCAGTGGAATTGAACCATGTCTGTGAAGCGCAATTAGGGGTATTCCAAAGCAAGACCAAAAACATGGAGAGATTGGATGAGAACGCAGCACGCCCTATACTGAGTGTGCATGTCTTGAATTGATGTCACATCTACGTTGCCTTGGTCCTCAGCCTGGCAGACAGAGTTTCTTTGGTTTTGTTAAGAGCGTATATTTTGATACCTAGGAAAGCGTTTCTAAATTTCATCGAGCAGTTGATACCCTCGCGTGCCGGGTCATTGTGTGTGTGTGTGCATGAACTAAGCTGGAAGATGTAGCGGGTTCTTACCATGCCGTCATATGTACCTGGCTCTACGAGCCCATACCAAGATGACGATACAGAAGAAGAACAGGCTGCCCATAATGGTGAAGAATGGAATCACGTTCGGACCATCCTGGAAAGGCACGCGAACATTCATGCCGAACAAACCACTTACGAGGTTCATCGGCACCAGGATTGAGGCAAGAAAGGTGATCTTGCTCAGCACCCGGTTGGTGTCTGTTCCCTGTGCAATGTTGTTGATGGATAGCTGTGCAAGGTAGTTGCTGTGAGAACGAGACAGAATCTTCTCGAAGTGTCCGAGGTTTGTGACCATCGTGACCACGTGATCCTGTATATCGCCGAGGTACAAGCCAATATCCATCCGAGGTGTCACCTTGTAGTTTTCGTTGCAGCGCTTGGTAAAACCACGGAGTACGTCAGCCTTTCCTCCAAGCAGACGCATCAATGCCATGCAGTTCTTGCGCACTCGCCCGATGGACCGCAAGAAGACGCTTGAATCGCCTTCGCGAATGACGAAGACTTCATCTTCAATCGAGTCAGCCTCCAACTCAATCTTTCGAATGATTGGCGCAAAGCAATCAACAATGTCGTCACTGATGAATAAGAAGACAACGGTTAGCCTCGCTAGGGAGTAATGCTCTGGGCAACAGAGGGACTTACATCATCGCGTAACAAATCCAGTCACTGCTGAGAGCAACATAATCCTTCAACAAAGCAATCCTCTTCCTAACGTGGGAAGCATGAGCATTTGGTTGAAAGCTGAAGCTCAAAGTCCCTTCTCTGAACACAACAACGTAGATATTAAATGGCTCATACTCTTGCCCATCGTCTTCTTCTACTGTCTGAAACGAGCGAAAGCTCGCGAAGTAGTAGGAAGGAAAAAGCTCGATCTTTTCGCGTGCCTCCTGAGTGGTGATATCCTCAATCGTAAGAGGGTGGATTCCAAATGCCTTGCAAATGGCTTGGACTTCTTCTTTTGTTGGGTTGTTGACATTGAGCCACCAGACACCGTCTGATTCGTTTGGCGGCAAAGCAAACAACCCCCGAACATCCTCTCCTGGTAGAACTAGGTCACCAAAGTCTTGAGCATGGATGGTGGACTCCCAAGCCGAGGAGAAGAAGCTGAAACGGTTCTTATCAATGGGCGGCTGCTGAGGAGCCCTTAACTCGTCGGCCAGAGTGGGCTTTTCTTTGTTGTCGTCCGCCATCGATGACTCGGAGGGCATGTCAAGGATGTCTCCGTCTAGAGTGGCCAACTGGATCCCATCAGGGGCGCAGCTGGAACCTTGGGGTCGTAAATCCGCAAAGCTTCTGTCCACAGTCTCCTGTTTGCTGAGAGCACGTGCAGCAGACTCAGACTGCAAGAAGTTCTCCAGGTAGTCGAAATCAATGTACAACTGATCCTTCCTGCCCTTGTCCTGAAGTGGAAAGCAAACGTCTTCCTCGGCTGTGTGATTCGAGTCCATACTGACGGCGTCATCATCCACAGTGCGCGGCCTGCTTCGACGACTGGCAATGGAAATAGCTCGATGTAGTTCAGTTTCCTCAGGTCTCGGTTCCGAAAACGACATCTCACGTTCGCGACGGCGAGCTTCGGCAAAAGCCTTGACAGAGTTGGGAGGCGAGACCGAACGCTGCTCGCCAATAGTCTCCACCGTAGGCCGCCGAGGGCGCCGGGTAGTGGGTGATGCCTGATCGATCTCGTCGTCCAAGATTGCCTCCTCTGAGCTTTTCAGTCGATTTTTGGAATTGTCCGGTGCCTGATCATCGTCGGCGGCCAGAAGACGAGCACCGTACAGCGAATCGAAGGTACCTCGACGGACCCGCTCATGTTGCTGAGAAGAGGGTGGCTGATGTCTGTGATCATCCAGCTCAGGAATAGGCGTCTTGAAGCCCACATCGGAGCCGTTTTCCTCGTGATCCGACATTTTGTGAAACCAGATGGGGTCGGAGTTGGAGTCGGGGTCGTGAGAGTTGGTGTTTTGAAGATGGAATCTAACGATTAAGCAGCGCTTGATCGAATTGTGCCGTCAGGAGCCCCTGCGTCTGAACTCAGATATTGGCTCCCATAACTTGACTAGCCGAAGCGAATATCGCTGCCGGGTAGCTGGCTACAGCTGTAGCGCACTGCGCGCATAGATCGTGGGTATGTTTTGCTGTCCAGACCCAAGGCAGGCGTCGTATTCTGCCGAGGTGACAGTCAGGGTGCTTGGTTTTGTCGCTGCAGAGTTCGGTCGCGATTGTCGGGCAAGGTTTACTTAAGGCGGCTTCTTGTTCACTCCACTGTAGACCCAGAATCCAGGACCTAGGAGCGAACGGGTAGGGAAGAGCTGAAGCGGGGCGAGTGAAGCCAACTTGGTGGTGTTCTGACGACTAGAGATGTGTTGTTGGGTCTTGCGACCTTCTGTGTTCAATTCGACGCGGGCGGGTGGGCGTCGTGAAGCCAGAAGAGTTCAGTCGTAGCGATGAGGTGATTGTGATATCGGACCAAAGTCAGAGTGCCAAATAACGAGCTTGACCTTCTCTAGACTCGATAAAACCGAGGAGTGCGTGGATTGGAGACACGAAAAAATTGGCAACTGATGCGGTTGTTGTGTTTGCAGTTGAGATTGAGAGACTGGGTGGTGCAGACAAACAAACGGAGGAGAGTGGGAAAGACGAAGCAACGAAATGTCGAAGTCAAAGAATGGACGTCGTTCATTGGGGCTGATATCCCTCTCCTAAGAGGTGGGAGGCCAGAAAATTTAGTCAGGAACTGCCTTACTTGCGTAAGGCTCTCGGGCAGGTTCCGCGGTTGGGGCATGCTTCGGAACATGTCCGATGCGTCGTCATCTTGATGGGAGGATTAATTATGGGCTTCCGTCGGCACGAGTTCATACTGTGCACCACCCAAGGCAAGGTAGCCACTCGTCCAGATAGCATCACAAGCATCGCTTACCTAAGGAACACCACGTTGCAGCACGCCCATCCTGCAACCGCATCGCGATCCAGGCTGTTGCATCCGCTTCTCAATCCTCAAGCTATCCCGGGTACTTCTGGGAGGAACACTTTGAATTGATCGCCCGGCTCCTCGTTGTATCACCAATTCTTGTCCACTTTCTACGGACAACTCCCGATCTTGCCTGACGCAAGGTCGCATCGCCATGGCTGAACAGATGATTCTGGACCAAGTTCGGGATCTCGCCGAGGGCCAGATTGTATGTTGTCATAGGCGGATCAGTCCAACCCTTGGCGCTCCCTCCCGCTGACCCATCTGCGTTACCAACAGGACTTTGAAGGACAAAAGAAGGCCGAGCTCTTGTCTACTTTTCTGCTCTCTGCGTTCGGGGTACGTCTCGTCTTTGCTGCCTGAGACCAACCTTGATGGCCACCATTCGCTGATCGCACCGCCTTTGTGTTTCAGGTACTCACGTTTGTCGTCGGCTTTATCCTCCAAGATATCAAGCTGGCTGTTTACATTGGGCTTGGCGGCACGGCCTTGACGTTCCTTGTTGTCGTGCCACCCTGGCCATTCTACAACCGGCACCCAGTGAAGTGGCTGGAACCACAAGGTGCTGTCGGCGACATCACAGTCGTGGAGAAGACGGGATGACGAGCGGGAGTAAAATGGATGAGAAGATGCCAATGGTTCATATCAAAGTACGCGAGTTCCGTGGTGTCAGAAGCGCTATTCGTGCTGGCTGTTGGTCCATGATATCATGCTCGTCAGCCCTCGTTGTTTCCACCTCCCATTGTTGCCGCCGCCCCATCGGATGTACGTTCCCTGCCTGCGTGCTTCCTGCCGACGGGCCCTTGGGCAAATCGCATGTCTCTCCTTAACGGCCATACTTTTGAAATTCCCAGTCACGATTGTCCAGAGGACATACTTGTCGAGTCTTGAGCCATCGCGATATGCAATGGAAGTGGAATGCGTGCTATAGCTTCGTCAGCGACACCCCTCCATAACATGAGGTAGTCCGGGGAGCGGGCACTGCTCACGTTGCATATCCCCCAAGCCACCGTACACTCCTCACTGGTCGCCGAGGCCTGGTTGGCCTGGCACTCGATACCTGGATGAGACGATTGTTGTTAGCGGGCCAGTCTTGAAAGTCTGTCGGAGCCACGTCTGCCCCTGCCAGATATCAAACTTACAAAGATCCATAATGTGGTTTCTGCAGATGGCGCAGTTGTCGACAACAATATCCCAAGCCCACAACGCAACAGCATTCCACTATCATCGCAAGTCAGCCAAGCGTGTGCTGTCTGCAAAGACTGTCCGACCCAACCTTTTTGACCTCAAAGCGCTTCTTTCCATCGGTGGCTTTACCCTCTGAGCCACTGGATTTCTTCGTAGCGACTGCCTGGACGGGAGCGTCCGTCATGTCCACGTCGGCCATGATTCGCTGGTGATTCCGCGGGGGTTGATAATGCGTTCGGAAGAGTTGAAGTTGCCGTGAAGTGTGATACGAATATCGTGACAAGAACCGTGTGAATTTGGTCGCTGGATAGAGAGAGGTATGGATCGAAGTCAGGGTCCAGGAAGTTCCCTCAAGGTCTAGACAACTCGGTAAGCTAAGCTCGGAGCGACACCGCGGGGGACGATTGCCAGCTGCTGTCGGACGGCGTGACGCCTGTAAGGAAGGGACAAGGACGGGTCAAGTCACGGAATTCTGAGCCGACGTACCTAGGTAGGTAGGTAGCAAGAGAAAAGCTTGTCTGGTCAAATGTTGCTGGGGTGTTCGGGGAGACGCTTCTTCGGGCAAGCTGGATGGAGGCACCTGCTTTGGTAACTACTTCTCAAGGTAGGTACTCTCTTTGGAGGGGTGGCGGGAACCTGAACTGATCGCCTACCCAATAGGGTGCTTAGAGCACAGTGCCAAAACTAGACATTTCAATTCCAACGTGCGTGCTTGTCGACCCAGGTACCCAGAACACATGCCCTTCTGCTAGCAGGCATGCTATTTATATAGTGCGTATGTCTATAGGCTACAACCGCCTCATGGTTTCATTTTCCCAGGTGCTCGATGACGAGAGGTTGTTGCCTTGTGTACCTACAATTGCTACCTCACTAGAGAGGAGTTAGAATACCTCCGGGCAGAATGGCGGTCTGTGCATTTTCCACAGACAGGCGCTTGGTCGAGGGGAGCGGACGGCAAGGTTGGCTGTCGATCACGTGCCATGCCAGCGTTGCTCCTAACCCACGTCACCAAGCTGAACCAGCGTCCCGCCTACTTTACCCCTCGGCCCCACATCACACACATGCACATCCTGTCATCTGCGTTCAACATCCGCTTTCGTCAACCAACAGGGCTGCTTGGCTACTCCCACAGCCTACTTCTGTGTCAAGGGTTGCCTCCAAGCCAACGTCTTGCCTCTCCACCATGAGCAGGATTCTTTGCACCTGCATCACAATCACCGACATATCCATCTCATTTCGACATCAGCCGGGCATCCCATAACACGCACGCGCATTGCCAACTGGCGCAACAAACGCGCGCCCGAGGCTGGCTTCCCCCGCACGAACTGGGCGCCTCTTAACACCCAAAACGTCAGTTCCGTCACCTCGCGCGACCTTTGCCTTCTCTTGGCGGACTTGGCTCTTCCATACCATCAAATATTGTAACACCTGCGCCGACATCCAGTACAGTAATGGAGCAGGCAAAACCTACGCCGTCGCGCCGTCGCGCCGCCCGAAATAACGGCAAACCTGCTTTGCAGAGGATGTATGCATCTGAGAACGACTTGCCAGTGACTTCGAAGATGGGATATGATCAGGGCCCTCAACCGTCCACACCTCAAAAGTCGGGCTCTCCCGCATTTGATATGCAGCCTGTCGCTTTCCAGCAGGGCTCTGCGAAAGCTTCGCGCGCGCGCAATAACAATCAAAATGCCACCAACCAAGGTAGTCACAACAAGGCTCGTCCCAAGCAATCGACAACCTCTCCCGACTTCGCACGAACTGCGCGCCAGACCACTCCAAACAGCGCCGCCGTACCCAGGCTACCGTCTTCAGCCGCTTTCGCTGGCGCTACGTTCCACGCTTCTCCGGCACCATCTGCTTTGCCGATACCAAGTTTCTACAAGCCATTTGCTGGATCGCCTAGTACGCAGACTCGCCACCAGGACGCCCAGCAGCAGCCATCTCCGCCCGCTACAGAGCCAGAAATGCCGACTCCGCAGCGGCCACTAGCCAACGAGGCGCGTGAGTCACCACTGGAGGCTATGTTCAGAGCCGATCGTGCGGAGAAGGAGAAGGCTCGTCGCCCTAGCTTCGTCAGCGATGCTTCTACCAGCCGACATCTGTTTTCTCCCAACGCTATGCCTCAAGGATCTCAAACAATGCCCCGACAGCATTACGGATTGCCCAGAGACAAGCCTTTCCAGCAGCGTTCCTCATCCGGTATCCCCATGGCAGAGCTTGACGGTGTTGCAGGACGGCCGGTTGGGCCTGCTTTTTCCACTCCCTATCAAGATCGCATACGCGCAGCACGCGGACCAGTCCCACAACCCACAAACAATGGAGTCTCGCCGTCGCAGCTTCACGAAGATCCAACAGAAGCCCTGAAGAAATATCTTTTCGGCCCCAAGAATTCGGGCTCAGAAACGACATCTTCAGCCCTCCCAAATGAGGCCCTCGTGAGTTCTTCCGCGCCTGCCAGCCGGCCTGCGGGCTTGCTAGCAATGGAGGATGACTTGAGGCGAATTCTTAAATTGTCTTGATTGGGGCCTCTTGATTTCATGTCTCTGTTCATTTACGACAGTCTTCGTGAGAAAGCTTTGCAGCACATGATTGTTCTCACTGCGGTGCAAGGGTTAAGGATGTTTTTTTTTTGGCTTGCATGGGAGGACCATGGTTGCTGGCGTCGGATTGATCTCGTACATCCGAGACCCGGATTCGTTACTTTGAGGGAACGTCAACCAGGCAAGGCTTGGTACATGGTTTCAGGGCGGACCGTACAGCGTCTCTCCTTTGTGCTCGCTTGTGCACATTAGCCACATGATGGCCAAATCATGACAAGGACAGCGAAACTACTACTGTATACAATGCTTATCAATTTCTTCCCCTCTGGGCGTTGTGAACGCCTGACAAACTGTTTCAAGTCGTATGTTGTTAGTAATGTATTCTCTGCAAGATCACTGCAGTCTAATGACTTGGCGCTTGGTCAGTGCATCGATGGTCCATCACGTCGAAAGCATGGGACAATTGCCCCTGTCCCTGTGAATGCGAAGCATTGCTTTGATATCAGGCAGAAATGATGTCACGTGGTCTCGTGGTCAAGTCGCGTTTGGTGTGGCGCAGGTGTAAGGACGCGTAGACCACCTCCGTCTAGGGTCACGAATTCTCATCCGAACCTCGCACGTGGCCTTGGTCTGTCGCGCGTAAAACCAAGGTCACCTGATCCAAAGAATCATTTTGCCGGTCAGCGTGTTTTGAGTGCTGGTAGAGCTCATAGTGCTCTATTCCACATACCGAAGTACTCGCACGCCTGGTCCAATTTTGCCCGCCTCCCTCGTAGGCAAGGAAGAAGCCATAACCCATCATTGCCATTCAACGAACCTTCGAGAACGAGGGCTAGGTCTCGAAAAATCCAAACCCAAAGATGGCGTCACCGTTGCCAAACCAGCAACCTGGAGAAACTCCCTACCAAGATGTCAATGGCGATTATGACGAAGACGAGGCCCTCAAAGCTGCTATCGCATCATCTCTAAAGCAGGAAGCAGAAAAGCCCAGAACCTCGGAGCAAAAGCCTACACCCAAAGGCACCAAGTCTCTTGGCCAGGTAGTCAAGGTCGCCGGTCCGGAGTCATGGTTGCTGGATAGGAAAAAAATGGAAGAGGCGCGCCTACAGCGGCTTCGCAAACGAACGGCTGAAGATGCCTCGCTTGATGGGCCGCAAGGCAAACGACTGAAAACACCAGCAACACCAGGAACGACTGATCCAACTATATTGAGGCAGGATGCGTCAGCTTCGATTTTAATGGGTGTCACGGCCTCGAATGGAAATCAAGTCACGCGCCAAGTACCGGAGCTACGCTTCCCGAGAGGAGTCGTCAAAAGGACGTGGGTGCATGGTTTTCCGCGCACAAATGACGACATCAAGATTGAAGAAGTCCTTGAGAAGGACAAGCTCGAGCTAGCTGTCGTGTCATCTTTCCAATGGGATGAGCCCTGGTTACTATCCAAAGTCGACACTGCCAGAACAAGAATGGTATTCATTGCATATGCAAAGAACGGTGCCGAGGTATGACCCATGTTCGGCGTGCTCTCAACCAAGGTCGAGTGTTCAGTCGCTGACCATATAGCAGCAAGAGACATTGAGAGCCAACGTACCGAGCAGCCGAATCAAACTCTGCTTTCCTCCCATGTACGGCATTGGCTGTATGCACTCGAAGTTGCAACTGTTGAAGTACCCGAAGTAATCGATTGGCCTCTCCGCACGTATACTTCTCACGATTCACTGACAATTGTCAGTCACCTGCGCATTGTTGTGCCATCTGGTAACCTGGTCCCTTACGACTGGGGAGAGACGGGAGTACTCGAGAACGTATGTTCCATCGAAAAGCTCCGGCCTCACACTTCATCTACGGATCAGTCTGCTGACAGTATAGATGGTTTTTCTTATTGATCTCCCACGAATCGTTCAAGCTTCAGGTGATGGAGATGCAATCCGAGGAAATGATGCCGCGGGAGTTTCCTTTGGCACCGAGCTGCGACGCTTCCTTCGGGCACAGGGACTGGACGAAAGTCTGGTCAAGAGCCTCGATAACTTCGACTTCACTGAGACGGAGCGCTTCCGTTTTATCCACACCATGTAAGCTTTCACGTCCCATCACGGCCTGCGCTGCATCTTTCCTGCGAGATTCATGCTCTGGCTTGGAGCCTCGTATCATTGCTTTTTGCTGATTAATGCTGGCAGTGCTGGAGGTCACACGGACCAACTATCCGGGGAGACAGGTAGGACATCCTGTCTACATCGTGATGCCTCTTACAAGACGCACTGACTACTGGGTTCTGATAACTTGGCGTAGGATACCATGGTTTGAGCCGTGCCGTGCATTCATTGGGCTTGTCAACCGATAAGCCTATCACAGTTGACTATGTGGTAAGGAAACATGACCCCAGGCATTCAAAGAGGTCTTTCAATGGACAAAACTGACGACTTCATACTTACAGACGTCATCACTGGGTTCGATCGATAATTCGTTTATCAAGACGATATACACGGCTTGTCAAGGTACGTCAAACGGAGACTTGTTCTTCCTTTAGTTCACGAGGATCTTATCTTCCACCAGGCTCAAACAAAGATCAAGATGATGGAGGAAACCAGCCAAGCCGGCGGAACACCAAGACCGCACTCGATGCGACAGATAGCCACAAGGCGCTCGGGGTTAAGATGCGGATATACTTTCCCACGGAAGACACAGTCGCGAAAAGCCGAGGCGGCAAGGCTGTAAGTGAACTCAACTCGACTGAAAAGTGCTCGCGCCGACGTCCATGGGTCATTTCCGGCTAACTATATGTGCCATAGGCTGGCGGCACAATCTGTTTCCAAGAGAAGTGGTGGGGCTCTGCAACGTTCCCACGAGAAATGCTTCGAGATTCAATCAGTACAAGACCCGGAGTTCTCATGCACGACAAAATCATCTTTGTGCAGCCCAACAGTACAGGTGGCCAAGACGACCCAGGAGCGGGATGGGCCTACGTCGGGAGTGCCAACTTGTCGGAAAGCGCGTGGTGAGTCGCAGCATGCCACACCTGGACGTATAGTGTACGCGTCTCGCCCCTGACTGACTTGGACATCTTCTACAGGGGTCGACTCACGAAAGAGCGGGGATCCGGCAGGGCAAAACTCACGTGCCGAAACTGGGAATGCGGCGTCCTCGTCCCCACTCGGAACACAGGCGATCGTTCAAGCGGGGGGCTTAGCGGTGCAGGCGAGGCTGGGAAGATGCTAGAGGCATTTCGAGGAGCGGTGCCGGTACCCATGGTAGCACCGTCAAGGGCCTATGGCGCTTCGTCGAATGACACGGCTGCTGATCGACCGTGGCTCTTCATGAAGCGCTATTAGGCTGTCTCGCAGTGTAGTTAACATGAGGCACATATTATGCCCGAAACGAAAGGGAGGACCGACTTGGGTCTTTATGGCGGTGGGAGGACATGTACCCTTGCTTGGGTTGCTTTTGTGCTCAAGCATTACGTACAGTACAGACCTGGGCACCCGATGATGGTATTGTGATTGTCCTACACGATACTCACGCAGCCCGGCCGCTACAGGTGACAGAGCAAGGCAGCGAGCTGGCCAGGGCTGGGCTTGGCCTTTTGATGTTCGTACTCGCACACAAATAGGACCCATGCTACCCGTCCCAGATGATTGATCGTTTTCGGGTCAGCGAGTTCGGCAAGGATACTAAAAGTAATCAGTGCTAGGTCGAGGGTACGCGGCGTTTTGAACAGGTGAGAGGTAATGTCACGGCGAGGCGAGACAAGCCTTTCCAGTTCATCGGGCGGGGCTGAGGCAACAAACGATTTCCTCCTTGCTGCATGCATGTACCTTCCACCTACATGTACGTACCGTACTTGTATGGTATATCCCTGCCCGGAGGACATTACTGTACATGTACATCTGAGTCCCTGCAAAGTTGGGGGAGGGGACAGGGAGCGCAGGGCGCAGCCTCGCGGGCGCATGTGCAGACTAGCGTCGAAACGTACGGACCCCGCAGGCTTGTCCAGACCGCCCTAGATAGTTAGCTGCCTGCCCTTAAGAGTGTACGAGTCCACCAGCAGCTTGTTGACAGCGGTTCGTGAAGGCTCATGGAGAGGCGGGCCAAGGTCCTACTCGTCAAGAGGTGGGTGACATTCCTGGAATGGCGCTTGCTCACGCTTGTGTGGCCAGACGTGCTTGATCTTTGCGAGTACCATGTACCACTGCCCATACCTTAAAACGTGACAGGGCCTGTGACAAGCCGGCCAGGACAACGAGGTGGGCCAAAGACCATACTGACAGTCGTACATATCCACAGCCATTAGATGGGCATGCTGCATCCATAATTACCAGGGCACCCGTTCTTCTATATCTCGACTCCTCAGCTGCACGACTGAATGGCAGGTCGACGCTACCCTGGTAGTCTGATGCGAGGGTGGATACACGTGTCAAAACTCGACAAACCCAGCGGCTTGAATTCGAAATGAGGATCACGAGCAGAACGACCTCGCAACGAAAACCAATATCGACAAGTTGGGATAGACTGGGGCTGGCATGGACCAAATGAAAGAAAAAAAAAAGCCCCGGGTTTGTCACGGCACCGCCTTCTCGGCACCAAAATACATCCGACCGAGCAGGGCTCGGAGCCTGCTCCGTGCTGGCACCATTGGTTCCATATCCACCTAATCGCCTGCGGTTGATTCCAACACCAGCAGGGCTGCCATGCTGGTGGTCCGTCTGGGGCGTCCAGTTACCCTGTCCTAGAAGTTGGCCTTGCCGGGATCCTCTCTATCTCGGAACATGCCAGCTGGTGACGAATATGAAATGAAGGAGCACGTTGAAGGACAGGATGCACCTAATGCATTCGAGAGAAAGACAAGAGAGTGATCCGCCGCCCTGGCGGCCTTGTGGCCTGGCTTTGCTGCACAGTGGGTGGTCCACTTACTCGTTGTACCATTCCTAGGATCTCCAGGTCCCCTGCGTCCCCTTGATCACGTTCCGTCTCGAAACACCCACCCTCCCGGAGATGTGAGGTCAAGACCTAATGTACCTGAGCAGGCACTGAAGCAGCAACACATGGCCCAGTACCCAACAAGGCATCTATTCAGGTAGCGTGTAAGTTGGGACACATGAGCCCTACATGGGAGGGCGGGTGGATAGGAGAAAGAGGTGCGTTGGGAGAGGAGAGGAGGGAGGGGGAGGCGAATATGCCGCAGCCCAAGCCAGCGTTGCATTCACAGTAACCGTGGCAGTAGCGCAACCTACCGGGTTCGTCTTCCGAGTGCTGGCCCCAATGTTGACAGCCAGCGTCGATTTTAGAGTTAGGCTCCGTCATGACAAGTGCCGGCCGGTCTCAGGCGCTAGACCCAAGAACAGCGGGCATTATTCGTCAGAGCTGCTTGGAGCTTGTACCCAAGCTTGAACCTGGACTTGGAGAGGGGAGCCGATAGCCGCAAAAACAGACGCACGAGGGACAGACTGGAGGACTGAGAACAGGCACCGTGCTCATCCAGTTGATACAGCAAAGAAGTGGCCCGGCAACCCGGCACCGTGGTGCTGCAGTGGATGTGCGCAGGAAATGGGCCCCTTTTCACCAGCTCCCCCCCCCTTCCCGCAGCATTGAAACTGTTTTCAGAGGATGCGCGTGTATAGGTGGTGTATGTGCCTCCTGGTCGGGTTTCAGCGGAAGCGCAGAATATTTGTTATGCTTCTCGGCAATGCCTGATGCCTTCTGTGCATAAAGCTCCTCGTCGGCAAGAGAAGGCGAGCCTGCGCCGATCATCCCATGAAACTGGTCCACCCTGCACTGCTGGACGACAGAAAGCAATACAGAGCATCACGATGTAGGGAGAAAGGGACGCGTGTGAGCACAGCGAGAGTGCGTCTGCTGTAATGAGTACATGGAACAGTTGGGTTCCTGTGGATAACTAATATGTGCCCGGGTTGGACCATAATGGGGAGTAGGAGAAAGAGAGAGGGGTGGATCGGGGGGTGGGCAGGCAGGTGTCGATCTCCTCAGTGGATCAAGCCCCCCAGTGGTGTGCCTGAGGGAGGTACTTGTACGAGACACACAAAGGCAAGTAGGTACTTTCAGGTGCTGTCGTCAACCACGGCGAGCGCATAGTACGTTGTCTCTCAGAGGGACAATTTTGCCAAGACAGACCACTAAGCCACATCGACGGCGAGAAGACGCAGCCACCTATACACAAGCAAAAACCGTGCGTCGCACCTGGGTACTTGCCGGCCTAGGGAGGTAAGCAAGTGAGCTTCTGGCAGCTCATGCCGCCAAGCCTAGCAGAAGGTCAACCCCCCCTCCCCCGTCACGCACTACATGGTATTCCGGTTACCATTTGGAATAGCATTATTTCAAAAGCCCCGCGCTACGTATCAAGGCTAAGCACAAGGGGTCAGTGAGGTTTGGAGGGGAGGAAGTCGAAGTAACGAGCAAAAGGCGAGAATGGTTCAACGATAGTTACGTTCACCCCCGCCGCCCCATCGCCCCATAGCCCCATCACCCCAAGCACCCCAAGCACCCCAAGCACCCCAAATACTTCAAGCTGTGAGAGGTGTGGCAGGTTGCCACTTCCCCTCCGTCGTCTGCTTCCCTGCCCCCTCCTCCCCCTCTTCCGCCGGCGCCGGCGCTGTCCCTCTTTGCCGGCGCCGCTCTGTGTCCCCTAACCCTTGGTCCTTGGCATTATACCCCTGGCCCATGCTCAAAGCTTGATACTGTTCTATTGTTGCGTCAGTCGCAAAGATGCACCTGCTTACATTATTACCCTGAACTCCGTCAAGCCGAGTTTGGTCAATGTTTCCTTCTTGGACGGGAGGGGGAGAGAGAGAGATCTCATCCGTCAGCCTTCCGAGGCTCATGGCTGGCTATCGTTGCATCCCACTGGGAACCCACCCGGCACTGTTTGCTACTTCGTTGCATTAACGGGTAGGTAGGTAGCACCCAGTGGTCGGTTAAGGTCAGACATCTGGAGCTCACGCGCTGTCACGCGTGTTCTAAACCCAGCTTAGACAAGCCTGGAGGTGGCTTCCACTCGGACCAAGATCTTCAGTGACGATCTGCTTCCCTGGTTGGCGGCTGTGGTCTTGGCCTCGAAGCTGGTCCCAAAGCTCTTCGTACCATCAACCTCTGGCGCACACGCATGAGCCTGAGCCTGAGCCTGAGCATATGCCCAAGGTTGTGAGCAGAAGCAGAAGCAGAAGCAGAAGCAGAAGCAGAAGCAGAAGCAGAAGCAGAAGCAGGAGCAGGAGCAGGAGCAGGAGCAGGAGCATGGCTGCGAGAGCAAGCACGAGCTTCACCTGCCTATCCTACCTAGATAGCTCAAGACCAAGCACCACACACGCCAGCATGAACAACAACATGATGGCGCCACTCATGCTTCCGGCCGGTCAATACAAGCAGACCTGAAGGTAGATACAACTGTTTCTCGCCCTTCCCGCCGCATTCCGCCTGACTGGGTTGCAAAGGGGACGGCCGATTGGGTGCGTGTTCTTTGTCTCGCTCGTGTCTTTAACAGCAAGGGTGCGCTAGGACGGCTGCCGGACTACAGCCACCTCCAATGCGCGAGTAGCTCCTCAAGACGGGAACGCTAAGGCAGGCTCTGATTCGGTCCCCCGTTTTGGTGCGGCAGTCCTTGGCCAGCCCAGCATTCTTCATTCTCTCTGTCTCTCTGTATTTCCGCCGCTCTCTTTCTCTCTCTGTCTCGCGCTTGCTATTTTCTGCCTCGTCGTTGTCGCCCACTTTCCGACTTGCCCTACAATGGGCCGCCTGTTCCGCCAGGCGGCCAATTGAGTCCCCAAAGGTCGTCCGTCACAGAAATTACACCGGCAATTGCCGCGGAAGCAGCGTTGGCAACTCACCCGGGCTTTGGTGACGTGGGCTGCGTAAAAATGCGCCATCCAGGATGCAAGATGCAAGATGCTGCCAAGCACTAGGCTATACTATTTCAGGCGCCGCCCGTGCGGTTGTAGGGGGCGGATACATCGAGCTTCTTGCGAAATGGGGACGCAAGGATGGCTGACGAGGCAGTTGGTCGAGTTGAAGTACCGGCTTGGAGAATTCCTACTGCCGTGGACCGAAAATGGCCAGAACAGAAAGGGACGCCAGAACCGGGCGGGGGCGATGGACGAACAGTACCGAACCAGGTGGTATCGGGGCATGAGCCGAAACTAGAGCCGGGACCCTGCCCATGATGATAAACTCGACGGGGTCCATGACTAGAATGCGGACCAGGGGCCAAGACCAGGCGCAAAGCACAAGTCCAAGACCAAAACCAAGCCCAAGATCCAAACCAGGGCCAGGACCGGGACAAGATGCAGGTGCAGGCGCAGGCGCAAGCGCAGGCGCAAGACCAGGGCTAGGACCAGGACCAGGACTAGGAATAGTCATGACTTGCCCCTCTCCTTCGACTGTTGACCCGTCGGTGAAAAAGGATGGTGGGACGTGCGGTGAGGTGTATCGTCGTCGATTGACCTTGGGTACCTGACTGAGCCACGCTTTGCCGTGCCTTGCCTTGCCTTGCCTGCCCACAACCCTCCGCTTCGCTCCAGACTGTTTGGCGTCCGTTCCTAACCTGCTACCGTCGACCGGCCCAGGTACTTTATTCTGACTGTGCACACCCCTGTTTGAAGCTAGCCTCCTCGCCCCCCCCCCCCCCCCCCCTCCCCGGTTCCCCTCCCCCCATAGCTCAACTACCAGTACCACCACTGCCTCCTCCCCTCTACCTAGCTGCCTGCCTTACCGTCCCTACCCAGGTGCCCTAAGGTGTGAGCTAACCTACCTAGGTGGACAGGCTAACCATACCTTACCGGTACGGGCTACGGCTACAGGCTACAAGCTGCCGGGGCGGTACATCTCGACTTTGGGGGAGCTTTTCTGCCTCTGTCTCCCACCTCACTCATAACCAGAGGCTAGTCCGACGTCTTCACTCACCTTGCTTCTTTCTTCACTTCGCTTTCCCCTTCCTCTCTCTGCACAAACCCGGTGCCCCGCCGATTTGGACATCTATTTCCCCTCGAGCTCATCATGCTTCGCTCGCTCTTGTCCGCTATGATCCCTTGAAGAAATCATACGCCTGCTCCTCCACCACCAATCACCCTTGCCTCAAGCGTCCCACGTTGTTGCGTGAAGAATCGATACGAGCACTCCTACTATCGACCGAGCACTCGCCGTCTGCCCCTCACCAGCTCGAACTCGCCCGCGCTCACCCGTCATCCGCCGTTGCCACTGTCCCTCGGCTCACCACAGGCTGTCCTTCGCTGCCCGCGCATCCTTCCGTAGGTTGCGCCTCTGGAACCCAGCACGCCAGCTCGAACGACTCTTTCTGCACGGAAGGCAGAATCGAGCGAGCCTTCACGGCAGGGCCATTGCACCCTGTTGAGCACGCGTGATTACGTTGCTCGTAAGGAGGCGTTCTATCGACCCGTTGTAGTGGGGTTTGGCGTTAATACACCTCAGCCATATCAGTCACAAAAACACAGACACACCCGTCACTGCCTCCGCCTCCGCCCGGATCAACATCACCAGCCCAGCGCGCCTTTCGTACCTCAATGTCTATGCAGCTTGGCCTGTGACTGCCGCGGCCCTCACCAAGAGAGGGCTTTCCTTTTGTGGTCGGCAACGGCAGCAGTAGCGGTAGCATTCGTAGCACGACACCGCAAGGAATCCGCCGTCCACAACCCTCTCGTGTGTCCACGAGACAGCTGTGAGGTCAGAGCTAGGGCTCGGTGGGCACCTTTGATCCGAGGGAAAGACGACGCCCGCGCCGAGCGCTCTTTGCAGTAACGGACCTGGCACCCCTCGATCCGGAGTCTGAGCAATACCGATACCCGGTCAAGACGTTGCATACACGCTGCCTTTTGCAAGCTTCGCAGCAGCGGCCTCCCGTCAACGGCGACTTCACCTCAACGGCCTCGGGCCCATTAGCAGAAATACGCCCCCCTCACTCGGCCGCACACGGATCCAAAGCTTCTTCGTCGTGTCTGCGCAACCTTAGACCCCACTGTGCCTTCTCGCCCATATCCTCCTGGCGGGAAAAGTATATAGCTAGGAAGGCTTTCTTCGACCGAACTCTCTGGGGCCTTTCACCTTTGGGTCTCATTCATCCCGCCAAATAAATCCCCCAAGGCCATAACAGGGACGCCTGTCACAGCTCAAGTCTTCGAACACTGTTTCTCTACTGCGTCTCCTGCTGCAACTCAAATCATCGCCGAACTTAGGTCCTCACTACCTTGAAGAAACCATGTCTGCAGCCAATGTCCCCCTCGAGGCCACCTGGCAAGGCCATGTCGCCTCGACTCTTGATGCTGTTGTTCTGTTCGAGGCTTGCCTGTCTGGCAATCTTCGTCACGTACCCCGTCGACCCCACGATCGTGAGCGCCAAGATCTTATCCAGAGCGGCCAGATCTTCATCTACGAAGAACACGCTTCAGGTATTAAACGATGGACAGACGGCGTCACTTGGAGCCCGAGTCGAATCCTCGGGAATTATCTGATCTACCGGGAGCTGGAGAGGCCATTTCCACCCGGCGAGAAGAAGCGCGCCGCAAAGAAGAACAAGAAGCAAACCAACGGCGGCATCTCCAAGAGCGAAGGGTGTCTACGACAGAACACAGGGATGAATGGGACCGCCGCCGGCACAAATGCCGCGAACTTATCCAGTGCGGGTTCCATGGATCCTTCCGAGGCAGCTAGGAATCCTGAGCGCGCCTTGATCGGATCTCTGGTTGACTCATACCCGTTCAAAGAGGGCGGACTTGTCAAGAAGACGATCAGCGTCCAATTCAGAAGCGTCCCGCATCATCTCGTCTCCTACTACACAGTTCAAGATGTCATGAGCGGCGCCCTCGCCACACCAACATCGCACTCGGGCTTTCTACGGAATATCGTTCCCCGGCCCGAGCTCATTCTCAACCAGAACTTCAGAGCGCCCATCGATGAAGTAGATGTAGACGACAATCGTCTAATACAACATCCGTTGAGCAGTGCGCACCAGGAGTATGTGAACCATATGCACCCTCCTACCTTCCGGACCTGGTCAGTACCTCACGTCAACATGGCTGTGGCCAACTCGAGACATTGGCCCACGGCCATGGTTCCCGCCCAGCAACAACAGATGCCACCCCCGCAGCATGCGCAGTATCTGCAGACACATCCAGGGGCCATGGCAGCCCCCATGCCCCCACCGAATTACGCACAACCTTCAACGCACCACCAATATGCCTACCAGGACGGTGTCATGCGCCCTCAGGTGACGACGTCTTCGACGCTGGCTCCGGATGTTTACAGAAACATGCTTGTAGACCAGCCACTCTCCCGCCGGCACTCCACGGCCTATGACTTGAGCAACTCGAGCCACGCCATAGGGCTCGCTCAGACGATGACCAACAGCCCAGTGGACCCAATCAGAAACATGAACCATCCCTTCATGCAAGCTACGCCTATCTACGGCAATAACGGACGTCTGCAGGAGCCGGTGCAGCATGCGGACGCATTCCCCTCGCCCCGAACACTGCCTCAGCAAGAACCCAGTCTCGATGGCTCTCAGCAGCATTCTGCGAATCTCAAACTGGAAGGAGAAGAATCGCATATGCAGCACAACAATTCTTGGGGCACGTATGATGTAGCGGCTACTCATGATGTGTTCTTGGGTGGCACCAATACTGATCAAAGTCAACCATTTTTGAATCCAGAAGGCGAGGAGGAACAATACGACGAAAATAATCCGCCACCCACTTGGCCGCCAGGTTCCAATAATTCCATGGGGAGACTGTAACCAGCATTGCCTGATTTGGTGGTGTTCGAACAAGGGTTTTGGGTAGTAGATGTATAGAGCGGTACCTAGACGTCGTCGGAATACCCACTTCAGGAAAGTGGTCTGGGGCTCAGAATAGGAAGAGGTCTTGTATTCGGATTCCGATGCATCATTCGGAGCCGATTTATCTATGATCGGCGCCCGGCGGCAGCCGCCAGAGCCTAAGGGAACAGAATAGTGTACAGTCAGAAGTATTGACGATTAATGCAACAAGCATTGACCGAGTCCGAGTCCTTGTCAACATTTGCTGTTCATTTGCGTTGTTCCGTCTCTCATTTTGGGTGAATACAATCGCTACTTGCCTTGCAAGGTATTTGTCAGCATATCTCTTATATACATACTTGCCCACTTCATAAGCATATTTCCATAGCCAGTCGTATCTGCTAGGTAGCTGTAATCCGACACGACAATCTCGACGTTGACATCACCAAGCCGCGAGACGAACTACCGACGGTGAGGCTGCACATGCGTCCGCTCATCATTATGTTGCTCCCTCGGCTCGGTTTTTCTGTTGTCGGCGGTAGTCGAGCGCTCGTACCTCTGGTTCCTGCCAAAGGCTGGGCATCTAAACGTCTGCACGGCTCTAGAGGCTTGCCATGTTTTCCACTCGCGCGCTACGCCATTCGCCATTCGCTCTCGGTTACCTCACAAAGTCGAAACTATTCACACCAGAAAGACCCACGTGAACGAAGCTCAAAGACGCCAGAAACTATGTACGTTCAAGCTTATTCGGATCCTACGCCGCAACGCATCCCTGCTAACCTGCCCCGGTGTACGACCGTAGCCACCCAGCTGCAACTGTCTCAGCACCGAGGCCGAGTCTGTCCAAGACACTACACGAGGACATCTACACTATTCCGAACCTTCTGACGCTATCACGTCTCGCCGCCGCGCCCTTTGTCGGCTATTTTATTCTGCAGGACAACCATGCGTGGGCACTCGGTCTTCTCGCCTACTCCGGAGTAACTGACCTGCTCGATGGATGGATTGCACGCCGCTGGAACCTTACGACAGTCGTGGGCACCATCATCGACCCACTGGCAGACAAGACTCTCATGGCAATATTGACTGTTTCGTTGGCCGTGCAAGGCTCGCTTCCAGGTATGTCTCCAGCCATTATTCATGTTGTAATGCAACGTCTGGGTTTGTTGTTGTCTGACTTGGCGCTCGTTGTCCCAGTCTGGCTTGCCGTTATCATCCTAGGTCGTGATGTCGGCCTAGCTATTGCAGCCATTTATTATCGCTGGGTGTCTTTACCGCCTCCGAAAACATTCACCCGGTACTGGGACTTCTCGCTGCCCTCGGCCGAAGTACACCCCACTGCGATCAGCAAGTACAACACGTTCTTGCAGCTGGCTTTGATCGGTCTCACAACAGCGGCTCCTGTCATTGCCCATGACATCTCGGTGCCCTTGACTGCTATGCAGTGAGGAACCATCCAATGTGACACATCAATGAGCAACGTAGTGACTAACACTGTTTTTAGGTATATCGTTGCCACTACCACGATTTGGAGTGGCGCAAGCTACATATACACCAAAGATGCAGTCAAAATATTGAACGCGCCTAAGCCGTGAACACGGCAGCTGCCAAATCCAAGCCCCCGCTTGCTTTCTCGGCCTCAGGCAGGTCGTTAAAATGTCTGAAGAATATTTCTCGTGTTCTTTTATACGCTTGCAAGCCGAGTCATTTGGCTCGAGGATACACCGTGTCCAACAAGAGCGCAGACACCAGCATGGTCTAATAATACAAGCTGCGCCTGTCGATCGATGCAGCGCATCTCTAGCAGGAGACTGCAAGGCCCAGCCTCAAGGCGTGCCTGACGGCTAAATGTACAGTAATGTTATAACAAAAAGCAAGAGTGACAATGACAAGGCACCCTGCTGGCCTCAGAGACTGCGGTGCAGCCATCCTACTCGGTCCTGTGAAAACAATGGTGTGCTTCTGCAGTATCGTCGGGCAGACAAGTGGCTCTCAAGCATTCAAGCATTCAAGGCAGACATGAGTCTTCTCCTGCAGCTCCGCCCTGGCTTTGTGCCAACATAAATCCTTGGTCCGATGTCGAGGTCGACCTGGCTTTACTTTGACGCTGGATGAAGCTTAGAAGGCGAATACAGCCTGAGGGCGTGATGCCCTCGAGCCGTCGAGCTTGGGCGAGGGTTTCTGGTTTTGTCGTCTTGAGAATCTGCTTTTCGTGCATGGCAAGCCCGGCGACCTTGTCGTAATCAAGATTTGCTGGTAGGCGCAGTGATTCGTCCCTGGTAAAGTTCCGTCGCTCTGACGTCTGCCTTGCAATCATCGGGGCGTATAAAGCCTCGATTGCAACCCGGGATTTGATTCGCTCAGGGAAACGCTGCACAACTGGCAGCACAGTCGCTATCTCATCCATGGTGACGTTGGGTAGCCGTAGCATCTCGCAGGCGTCACGACGCTGGCTATTTTCCTTCACCTGGAAGCCGTGTCTCATCCACTCCTGTGGTGACTTGACCGCAGACTCCAGAAGAGAGTAGAGTTCATCCACCTGCATCTTTTCGTCTGAGAATGCCCTCCACCTAGCGTCCGATACGACGCCCCAGTCTCGGCCCTTCGCTGTCAATCGGTAGTCTGCATTGTCAGCCCGCGAGGTAAGTCTATATTCACTCCGGGTGGTGAACATGCGGTAAGGCTCCGACACGCCTTTCGTAACAAGATCATCAATCATAACGCCAATGTATCCGTCGCCTCGGGATAACGAAACGGCCGCCAGACCCTTTGCTGCTCGGCCCGCGTTGATCCCAGCAACAACGCCTTGACCCGCAGCTTCTTCATATCCAGTCGTGCCGTTGATCTGTCCGGCAAGGTACAGGCCACTGACTGGCTTGGTTTCCAAGGAGGATTTGAGACTGCGTGGATCGATGTAGTCATACTCAACGCCGTATCCGACCTGCAACAACTCTGCATTTTCCATACCCTTGATGGACCGGATGATTTGTTCTTGGGCCTCCGGAGGTACAGTCATGGACAGGCCGTTGGGGTACACGACATCGTTGTCAAACCCTTCAGGTTCAAGCCAGACGATGTGTCGCTCTTTATCGGAAAAGCGCGTTATCTTGGACTCGAGCGACGGACAGTATCTCGGTCCAAGAACGGTCTCCCGGATGTGAATTGTGTTGCCAAGGTTTGCGCGAACGATGTCGTGTGTAGTTGCGTTTGTGTAAGTCACATAGCAATCAATTTGCTTGTCGGTCGCCACGGTATCGTTCATGTAGCTGAAAGGCGTGGGCGATTGTTCGCCCGGCTGAAGCTGAAGTTCAGAGAAATCGATGCTCTTCCCTGAAATCCGAGGGGGGGTGCCCGTCTTTAGTCGGCCCATGCTGAAGCCTGCATCTCTGAGGGACTTGCTTAGCCCAGTTGTTGCCGCCTCCCCTATCCTCCCGGCTGGGTAGCTTTCCATTCCAATATGGATTTCACCGCTCAGGAAGGTGCCGGTCGTAATGATCACCTGGGTCGTAGGTAGGATTTCGCCCGAGTCGAGCTTGACACCGGTGATGCGACTGTGCGCCCCTATTGTCGGGTCTTCCTGGGGGCAAAGTACTACATCGGAGACACTGCCTACAATGATCGACAGGTTGGGATACCCTTCGAGCTCCTCCCTCATGTGCTTCTTGTAAAGGTCTCGGTCGATCTGCGCGCGGGGTCCCTAGGCAAAAGATTAGCTGCGGTCGATCCACGGGCTCCTGAAGAGACATTTAGTACTCACCCATACAGCAGGGCCCTTTCTTCGATTCAACGTCTGAAAGTGTATACCGGCCTTGTCGATAACACGGCCTGCCAACCCATCGAGGGCATCGAGCTCGCGGATGATCACCCCTTTCCCTATTCCGCCAAAACTGGGGTTGCAAGAACACGTGCCCAGGTTGTCAATCTTCGGTGTGACGAGGGCGGTCTTTGCGCCGGCGCGCGCCGCTGCGGCGCAAGCCTCAGCGCCAGCATGGCCACCTCCGACAACTACCACATCGAAAGGTCTAAGGCCGGAGGCGACTGAGGCAAACTGTCGACCGCGGCTCGTTGGCAGGGCGGTAATGCGATGTCGGGCGCTGCGAATATTGTGATGCAGATTCCACAGCTGTTTCGAGGATCTTCCAGAGAGCATCGGGGCGATTGAGGTCGTTGCAGCCTGCACAGATCTAGGGTCAATCAGTGAGCATGGAGAGAAATAATACTTTTGGTCGCATCGCCACAGGCCGAAGGCTCAAGTATCTGTAGCGTGTGAATGCGCGTTATTCGCACGGTCTTCGCACCAACTCCATGCTATATGGTAGCGCCTCTTTGGGGTTCAAGTCTGACATCGAGTGCCTGTCCTAGAAGACTTCACAAAATCAAGTTTGATCATTGCAACAAATCTTTCTCATTATAAACCCTAGAATATAACATTGACTAAAGATCGACGGCTGAAAAGTGAGCCACCAAAGGGCAGCATGGAATAGATCCTTCAATGTTATCTTTAACGTAGAGGGCCATTCTTCGTCGCTGCCGGCCACAGTGAGACAGCATCTTCAACTTCCTCCAAGAAAGTGGCAGTATTGTGGATCGTGGTGCCTCCCAAGACGACCCTGACGCCAGGAGATGATGCATTAATTGTAGCGATCATCTTGGCCTCTTCGTACGTTGCACCTCCAATCATGAACACGATGATGTCTTGGGGTTTGTCCCGTGTTGTACCCCCGCCCTCTACGAATGGATATTGCTGGTCTTTCAGTTTACCCTTGATCAAATTTTGTAAAGTATTTTCCAGGAGGGGCGTGTGCTGGGTGTAGACGTTTTCAACGCCTTTCAGCCCCTTGAGTCTATCCCTTGCACCTGAGAAGATGCCTGCTGACTCGAAAAGATCTGTGATACCAGTCTGGGCGTGCGACTGCTGAAGTGACGAGTGGTATGCTAATACTTTCCTCACCCTGTCGGCATGACGTGGGGACACATCGCCTGCAGCAACCAGAAGGTCGATCAACATTGGAAGTGCATTCGATGGGTTCTTGTCGTATCTCAGAGCGTAGAGAGCGACCAGTGAAACCTTGTTCTGGGCATTCACATTGGGCGATTGGATCAGATTCTGAACGGTCTGTTGTGCGCTGTCAGCGGCCCGGAGAAGAAGACAATACGTAGAACCTTGTGTTGGAGGGGGGTCAGTATGGGGCGTCGTACCTTGAGGTCGGTTGCATGATTATCACTGCACGCCAGGCTCTGTTCCAATTCGCTGACTTCAAGCAGATTCTCTGCGCCGACGCGACGGCTCAGCTCAGAGACGAGTGTGACGTGTTTGCTCACGTTTCCAGAGAGCTTGCGGAATTCCGGATATTCCTCGATGAACCGCTTCATATCGGATATAGACTCGATGTTGGCGTTGTTCTGTGTCTTGGACTGGTACTGTCCAACGTAATCCTTGATGTTCCCACCAAGGTCGCCGAAGTTCATGTACATATTCTTCTTAAAGAAGGGATCTTGGTCCTGTGACAGAACGATCTCCTTCAATTCTGGCCGGATGTCAGGCACGTCATTCAGATCGACACGGCCATTGTTGATGCCGAGCAGATGGTGAACCATTGCTTGATATGTCCATTGGGTCAGCAGGGGAGTTATCGGGTCCTCCCGTCGATCAAGCACAAGTAACACAGGTGGTGTATCGACTTTGCGGAAGTCAAACAATTGCTCTTCCTGTGTCATGTGGTATCTCACTTCAGTTGCCAGCTTCCTCGCCGCGAGGCTGTTTTTCGCGTATCGAATCAACGGTTTCTTTTTAAGTGCCAGCAAGACGGCGATAAGACCCGCGGCGCTCTTCTGGAGAGCCTCGGGGTTCCAGGCATCTGCAGCGGCTGACCAGGTTCGCTGTTGTGGAAGAGCAATGCCAAGAGAGAACAGGTCAGGGTTGATGACGATAAAGTCGGCGAAGTGCTCCTGGACAAGCCGTACCACTTCATGATCATCGGCCTCGGCCAGTCGTTCGAGAGACGATTTTTTGACGACATTCGTGAAGTAGAGGAGATACTCTCCATATTTCGGTTCGCGTAATTCATCGATCAGGAGCTGGATAGATTCGGGTGACGGTCTGACGAGGCAGAGGCACCTCAGGTGACGCATTTTCTCCCTGCTGGTGTTGTCCAGACGATCGATGAGATAGACCTCGTGATTCAGTAACGTCGATTGAGTAACAGCTGTTGACACAATGGGCACCGTTTCCCTGTCTAATAGAAGGACTTTCATTTTGGCAGATTGGCTAGCGTGAGAGCCTTCGCCAGATGAGATGATGCGGGACACGTAAGTGCCTACCGCTTGTGCAACGTCCATGCCGACGAAGGGCAGGCGACGATGGCGCACGGCAGCGAAAGCTCGTTCCTCAAATGTCCGCTGGCAAGACGCGGGGTGTGTGCCTGGGAATAACAGGAAGCCTCTATGACTGAACTCGAAGCTTCAGAGCAGGGTGGCAGGAGTTGACGTTCCGATGCTCAATCGTCTCAGCGTTTCGAGTACGGTGAATGATAAGAATTATTACGGGATAGCTTAGCGAATATGTTCGTTCAGAAAGGTCTTTGATCCACAATCGAGACTGAGCAGGCTTGCGTCTTGGGGTGTGAACTTGACTACGTGGTTGATGACTTAGGTTCGTTCGCTCACTGGGAGGTGTTTGATGACGAGTGGCCCGAACTGATGGACCAACACAACCATAAGCTAACAAGCCTGACACGAGCCGAAGACGGGTTCCCACTTGTCTAGGTACCGTACTAGGCACCCTAGGTACCTACGTCGTGGGGGTACTCAGGTGCTTACTTCTGCCCCCAATTAGAAGCCTAGATTCCCTTCTTAGAAGCCTCCAACTCGCCATTAGTCATCCAGCGCATAGAATGTGTCTACCATTAAAATGAGTGTCTACCTCAAGTAAGGTAGGGAGTGACTCTATCAACCCAGTTCCGTGCTGTCGAGTCGCAATACAGTGTCCGAAGCCCTGCGACATGGTTGATTTTCCCTGCCGAAATACAGTTGATACGGAAAACATACTAGTCCCTTGTGTTCATGCCACACCTGTCTTGACACCCTCTCAACCCCAAGCACACAGCAAAAGTCCACCCACATATAAAACCCGCCGAAAACCAGGGCAAAGAATTGCCCAGGCGTCCAGGCCAAGCGGCGGCCTGTGAAAGTCAACCCGAGGCTTTCAATCGATCAACAAGCAACAAAATGGCCGACAAGACCTGCCCCGCAACGAGTGAACCAACGTGAGTGTACCTGTCCCCTCTATTGGTTCTGTTGAACTGACAAGCCCGAATCGAAGCTTGTCTTTTGCGCAAGGTCTCGTGTTAGGCCAGCTGTCTGTCGTGCTCGTGCTCGCAGCCTTCATCAAGTTTTTCATCTTCGGGGACCCACCATCCCCCGAAGTCACAGCTTCACTGCGAGCCACCGAGCGGCGGTCAAAGACACTTGCTCACAAGAAGTCCCTCCTGGGTCTTCGGGCCGCCACTGGCCGTCCCGGCCAGCCAGCATTGAACAAGAAGAAGTCAAGTGTCCTGAGGAGCCCATATAACCTAACTATCGGGTCCATCCTGAGCAAGACATACTACAATGTCGACAGTCATCAGCCTGAGAGCTTGGATTGGTTCAATGTGCTCGTAGCTCAGACCATTGCCCAGTTCAGAAGCGATGCGCAGCACGACGACGCCATTCTCAGTTCCTTGACCAAGGCTTTGAATGGGACATCGCGGCCCGATTTTGTCGACGAGATTCGAGTCACAAAACTCAGCCTCGGCGAGGACTTTCCTATTTTCAGCAATTGTCGCATTATACCTGTCGACGAGGACGGCCTGAGTCTAGGTAACGGCAAGACGATCGACGCAAGTGCCGCCACTAGGGAAGGGGCCAAGCTACAGGCGCGGATGGACGTCGATCTCAGTGATCTACTGACCCTGGCTTTGGAAACTAAGCTGCTGCTTAATTATCCTAAGAAACTAAGCGCAGTGCTGCCAGTTGCGCTCACCGTCTCCGTCAGACGCTTCAGCGGAACACTGTCGGTTTCCTTCATCCCCAGTAACCCATCCCAGTCTACGCCGACCATGATGACCTTCAACTTCCTTGACGATTACCGACTTGATTTTTCTATCGGGAGCTTGCTCGGGAGCCGGTCCAAACTAGAGGACGTGCCAAAAATTGCGCAACTCATCGAGGCCCGCTTACACCGTTGGTTCGACGAGCGATGTGTCGAGCCCCGATTTCAAGAGATTGCACTGCCAAGCTTGTGGCCTCGAAAGAAAAACACGAGGGGTCCTGACGATGGAATGACAGAGGGAAACATCGGCTCTGTGGGGAGATCCAAGGGCCGGGACGTGGGCCAGGACATCCGAGCAGAGGCTCGCAAAGAGGTTGAGGCTGAAGCTAGCAGTCGTACGGACCGAGCACAAGAGTCGCTTCGGCGACGGAGGTTGAGAAGCGAGGATGAGCTCGTCATGCCGGGTTCTCTGCCAGACTTTGTGTAGTAATAACTTCCACCAAATGAACAAACGGAGTGTGCACATAAATAGCGCAGATAGACCGCGAATTACCTCCAGACACCATCGCTGCGTCCCTACCAGGCCATGTCCACCACGCTTTTTGAACTCGCTGTCAAGGCCATGAGGTTCGACCACCAGGCCCAGGCCCCAGCCAATAACATGAGGTAGTAAAAAGCGGACCAAAGGCGACAGGCATTGGCCGCTCGCGCGTCACTGTGTGAAATCCAGTATGGATCGACAACGCCCCAGAAGCGCGGGAGACCCATGGCATTGCAGAAAGCATGGACGAGGATGGCAGCAAGGAGGCTGCCTGTGCGGAGGAACAGGAATGTGGCGTAGGCACCGAACAAGGTTGTGTACGAAAACTGCAGAATAGTGCGGGCAATGGCCACGTGCAGAGGCACGCGAGGATGGGTGATACGAAACTCGTAGAAGTGGTGGATATGGGCCATGCCGAAGATGATTGGGGACAGAAAAATCGTCTTATAGATAGAGAGATGAGCCGCAAGAAATAGTGGTATGGACGCTGACCGAAAAAGCAGCTCCTCTGTGGCGGGGCCCTATGAAGCATCAGCTGTTTGATGTAACTTAATGGAAGAAGGATGAGCGAAGCGCGCGCCCGGTGAGGGAGGGCATACAATGACAATGTTGCGCCATGTAGTCCAGGATTGCCAGACGTCAATGATGGTGCGCGTGCTCACCAAGTCCTTCCAGGCGCCGTCAAGTACGAGCGTTTCGAACAACGGTGCGCTGAAGAGGATGGCAGTCAGGAGTACCGAGCTGGCGGCTTCCGTGACCCCCAGTGGCCAATAGCCCATAGCGTGGAGCGGGTCTATGGCGAGAGCATAGTTGCGATGCAAGATGATGAAAGTGCAAAAGGAACAGAGGGCAGTCGAGCACAGAACAGATCTGATGCGAGCGCGGATAACGCGGGGGTCATCCCGCAGCAGCTCAGGCGATGGGCGGGTGTCTGATGAGGCATACAGAGGCGACACGTATGCCAGAGTGTATGCAAGCTACGGTGAGGACATAGTTAGCCGCAGTCTCTCGGTGCCACCAGGAAGCTAACACGCAGACAACAGAGACACACAAGGAGCGCGAAAGCGGTCGTGGGATGAAGCACAGCGTCTGTAGTCGACATTTCGGCTTTGGCCTCGGCTTCAACTGCCTCAGCGCGCTTTGCGAATATTGTAGAAGAGCAGAGCGGACGGCAAAGGCAACAATAAGTGCGGCCAGGTCATGTGTTCGTGGAATCGGTACTCGAGGTGGAAAACGCGGAAAGAGAACTGGAGTTTTTGTTTGGTGAGCACTGCAAATTGGTGCAGGTGAAGAGGGGTTCCCGCTATGTGTTGGCGAGCTCTTCCTTTGTGACACTTGAGCCGGGGGCTCGCGATGATCCGTTTGCCTGGGACAATGCCTTGAAGTTGTGGCTGTAGTGACGGTGAACAAAGATGGCTCAGTTCCCTTCCAAATCAGAGCCCCAAGACGACATACGAATACACACATAACCCGCATAACGTCATATGTGTAGACATGGCGACGCCAAAGCAGGCTGGGATGACCCCGCTTGATAATATTGGCCAATCTGTCTCGTGAGGAACCATCTCATAAGGCCTGCCAACTCACTCATGCTTGAAGGATGAGCCCGGTTCTCGAGGGGCTGCCATCTCATCTCGTCATCGGACAAGTGCTTCGAAACAATCAAGGTATCACAAGCTGTTCCCTGCGATGGCCAGCTTAGCCTCCCTTCATCAGCCGCGCCAGACCTTTGTGCTAGGCCTGATGCCAGGACTGGCGGCCGGGCGGGCTGGGTTGTGGGAGACCCCGCGCCTAAGTAAGAGAGTAGCGGCCTTGGTTCATCAGAGCTCCTGTCATGCGGGTTGATACGAAGCGGCGTGACCGATGCATCGGTTGGGTAGCATTTTGTCATCGATCAAGCGGCAAGCTGTTTGACAACCCCCCTCGGCGCCTCCGTCTTTCTTCCTCCCACCTTTCTTTTCACGGGATTGGCGGATCCCGTCGCGGCAGAGCAAAGGGAGCTCTGGCTTTCTCCTTGCAGCCGTAATCTGACGTCGGCATCTAGGCACAACCCGCACAGAGCCTATTGTCTTTGGAGCCAGAAAAAAACATTGACCAAGAGACGCGACACGAACCCGACGCGCTGGCTAACCTCCATTGAGGCTCGAAGCGATTGGTCGGGTTGTCCACCCAATCCAAGCTAGGTACACGCTGCGAGGTTCAGGGGGCGGGACCTCCCCCGTCTCCAGTCTATACCCACCCGCCCACTTATCTTTGCTGCTGGAAAGACACACATACGGTCCGCAATCTCGGTGTTTTCACCATGGTCCAATGCTGGAGCTCTTGAGTGCACATCTCCTCGCGCACTGATTCTCCTGAAGCCAGCAGGTGTCCCCGGCTCGATTGCGCTTGCTCGGGCCAATTAAATGACGTCTAAAGGCGAGTTCGACTAGCCGGCTGGCGCCTCCACTACATGCCCCCCCCCTGAACCAGACCGAGAACCAAAGTCAGAACCGGGCCTGACCGCCTGTCTGTTAGGCGGGGCGGGGTGAGACGAGCAGGCCTGAGGCGTGAGAATTCGACTTTTAGAAGCTGACTCCAGATGCCGTTGGCCGTGGCGTACGAAGTGTACCTGCATTGTGGATTCGAACTAGCAGCAACCAAGGCCACCCAGTTCAAGCGCGCGCCGGCACCCCCAGGATTTGAGATGTGTCGTGGACCAATCAATATCCCGCGACCCAAGCCAGTCATAACAGAATACACATATGGCCAGCCAGTACGCGCGAATGG